ACGCGGATCGCGGTGCTAGCTACTGCCTATCTGGTCTCGTGATACCAACTAAAGGGCACGATATTCCGGTGGCTGTGCCAGTCTGGCCTGCTTTGAAACTCTTGGTGACAGTGCGCAGTATTCTCGATCCAACTATCAAAATGATTCATCCGTCACGACAAGCATACGTCGAGGAAGCCCAGTCGCCCAAGGGCGTCGCATTGGAAGACCTTCCCGATGACCATGACTACGATATGCCGTCCGCCGGCGCCGGCGCCCCTTCAGAAAAGGCTTCAGCAATCCTGGACCAGTTCAGGCGAAAGCGCGCTGCCGCAGAGCTGAATGTCCCGACCAACGATGACCGCGTTCGTGCAGTCCTGAGATCCATGGGCGAGCCCATAACCCTTTTTGGCGAAGGGAAAGCAGAGCGACGAGACCGACTCCGAGAATTGATGCTGATACAGACGGAGATGAATGGCCTCGAAAATGGTGACATTGATATGGAGGATGTACCAGATGATGAGCAGGAGGAAGAGCAGGAGGAAGAATTCTACTCGAGAGGTGGCCCAGACTTGTTACAGGCTCGCATCAAGCTCGCCGAGTACTCACTACCCAGGACGAAGAAGAAGATTCAATTCCAGAAAGAAGAGTCATCAATACCGCTGCGAACACACGTCAAATTCCGCAAACAAATCAAGGAGAGATTACAGGCCTTTGAGCTACAAGGCAGTCAGACTGTAGGCGAGCGTCACATCAGCATGGTGAGGATGGCTCCTAACGGCGAGCACGTGGCGGTTGGTAACTGGGGTGGCCAAATCAAGCTGGTGGAAGTGCCCAACTTGACTGAGAAGATGAATCTACGAGGACACACCAACAAAATCAGCGGTCTTTCCTGGTTCCCTGGTGCCACTCTTCCGGAAAGCGGCGTATCCCCTGATTCAGTCAACCTAGCCTCAGGTGGCGCTGAGGGTCTTGTTCATCTATGGTCGTTAAATAAAGACACTCCCTTGTCAACGCTGCAGGGACATTCCCAACGTGTTTGTCGAGTCGAGTTCCACCCTTCTGGAAAGTATCTAGCCTCCGCATCCGACGACACATCTTGGAGGCTTTGGGATGTCGAGACGACAACGGAAATCCTCCTCCAGGAAGGCCATTCACGAGGCGTGTACGCCATTAGCTTCAATACCGAGGGTTCACTCCTTGCCAGCGCAGGTCTTGACAGTATCGGCAGAATATGGGATTTGAGATCTGGAAGGACGGTCATGATTCTCGATGGGCATATAGATGGTCACATTAAGCCCATCCATGCGCTCGACTGGAGTCCAGACGGACACCGAGTGCTGAGCGGTTCCGCGGATGGTTGGGTCAAGTGCTGGGATGTACGCAAAGTTCAGAGAAGCGGCGGCATCGGTGCACATTCAAGCGCAGTCTCGGATATGCGATGGTTCAAAGGTCTCGATGACCCTCTTGACGGCATTCCCCCGGCGTTGGACGAGAAAGGCTTACGGGTACCTAAGAAATCCGGCACGTTCTTCGTCTCCAGTGGATTCGACAAAAATGTCAAGATCTTCTCTGCAGACGATTGGACTCTTGTGCAAACTCTGAGCGGGCATACTGGGCCTGTCTCCAGTGTAGATTATAGCAGGGATGGGAAATGGATCATCAGTGGCGGCCATGACAGGACTGTCAAGCTTTGGGGCCGAAATGATGGTGAAGGCATCTGATAAATTGGCATATAGACAAAAGTAAGGATACAGTAAATCCACTTATGATACCCAAAGGAAAACAATGCAATTTTTCTCAAATGAATGAGCGCGTATTGGACTCGAGCATGGCCTGCGCTTTGTCGCGAGCCTTGGCTCAGCCCGACATGACGGAACGGACCCAGTGCGCGGTCAGGTGACTGGCTAATGCTGAATCTCCCAACCCAAAGACAATAGCAGTCTCAGATCTCTTGCACCACTATCTTCTATTGTCCCAAACCTTCCTCCAGTCACTTTTTTTTTCTCGCTTTCATTCGTTTACAAAACCAGAGTAACCGACCGATCAGGCGGTTTATTCCTCATGATCCGTCTCCAGTCCTTATCTCTTACAGGCGTCAATCCGACACAAATCTGACCTCATGGCGAGCATCGATCGATACCGCCCGCAGCGAGAGGGCTATCAACCTCCAACCCTGGCTCAGAACCCGCGTCAGGATAAATCGTCGCGGTCTCCAACAAGACGGCGCGATGTTCCTCCAGCGGTCCCAACACCTCCCCAGCACAGCACTCGCACGTCGCCACCACGCCTCCAGGCTCGACCAAGCCAGCAGCAATCGCCCAGCCGACCGGGCGCGCGCACACCGTTGGCGGTCGCAAACCAGTGGGCGTTCACGGAGGAGGAGACTTCGAGTACGCCCAGCATTATCGAGGGATTAGCGCCTTCTGAGGAGAGATTGCGCCGCGCCAAGGGCGTCAACTTTATCTACCAGGCTGGGGTGATGCTCGATCTCCCTCAGATCACTCTTTGGGTAGCTGGAGTATTTTTCCACCGATTCTACATGCGCTGCAGTATGGTACAGGAGAAGGGCGGGATTCATCACTATGTAAGTATGGTATCCAGATGCATGGCTCCGTCGTAGGAGGCTCGTTAGGGGAGGGCAAAGACCCATCCGCAAGGAAGACTTGTTGCTGATACTTTTCTATGCAGAATATCGCCGCTACTGCCCTCTTCCTGGCCAACAAGGTCGAAGAGAATTGCAAGAAGACGAAGGACATCATCATTGCCGTCGCCAAGGTCGCTCAGAAGAATGCCAAGCTCATTATCGATGAGCAGAGCAAGGAGTACTGGCGATGGAGAGACAGCATACTCACGTACGAAGAGGCCATGCTTGAGCAACTCACATTCGATCTCATGATTGATAACCCCTACCGAAATCTTCTCGATCTTCTTGGGCAGCTCGACTGTGTTCATAACAAGCATCTGCGACAGGCCGCCTGGGCTTTCTGTAACGATGCATGCCTGACGGCCCTCCCCCTTCTGTTTGAGGCAAGGGACGTTGCTATCACGGCGATTTTCTTCGCCAGCGTTCACACCAATCAACAGCTAGACGACGTCAAGGGCGAGCCATGGTGGAAGTACGTGAGGGGTGACGAGACACGATGTATCAGAGCCATTGAGATTATGCGACAGTTCTACACTGAGAATCCGCTTAGGAAGCAGAATCCGTCATTACCGTCACCAGCATTTGAGTTGGATATTTCTCGACGCCGAGGGGATGCTTCGATCACAGACTCATACCCTTCGAATGCCGCTACACCAATGGAACTCGACAGAGCTAGTCGCAGTCCCGTTCCAAGGACAAACGGCGGAGGCGAAAGTCACAATGGAACATCTCAGGCAAGGTCGGAAGATAACAGATACATTCCTCGTTCTCCATATAAACGGAAGGAGGCTGAGATTGATGCCAACGACGATAGGGCAGAGAAGAGAGCAAGACTATCCGAGGACGAAGAGGGTGAGCTGGTGGAAGACTGAATGTGATTTTTTTTTAAAGAAGGTTCGGTATTGAGAGAATCTTTGGCGTTATAGGCTTCTCGCAAGGCAAATGTTTCAGGAAGAGATGAACGGACAGCGAGAGGATAAAGGACAGGCTTATGGAAAGAGAGCGGCGCACCGGTTGTATTTTAGGGAGTGATATCCTCTGGACGCAAGATTGAACCATGATTTCCTTGCCCACTGCTGGCATTTTCTAGATGGATAGAGCTCTCGTAGGCCCTCAACTTTCTCAGAGCTGAATAGACTAAGTCATCATGCACGCATCTCGAATGTCAGATCTAATTAAGATTATTTCTTAACAGATTACCTTGTCTACATACCCACCAGAGCCGTCCATTGTTGAATCATCACGAGCTGCCTGGCTCTGCTTCCCTTCCTCTCTTCTTGCCTCAGGCACTCGTGGTGTTCTTGCCTCGATGCGAATATCTCAGGCAGCAGCTGCCTCGTGCGATGCTACATTCTGATTGGACCTACAGTGGCGACTCCACTTACTGATCTTGCACCCCACTCACCGCCCTGGGCACACTATTTAAGTGCGCGAAGCCCGCCGGCTTTTTTGAATTTTTTCTTCCTTTCTTCTTTAGCTCTCTTTGCCTTTTGGCTTAGATCAAGTGTAGTATCTGTTCTTTTCAGTTTAATCTCTGAAAGGTCTCTAAGGAGACCAATCGTGATTATTCCTATTTTTGGCTTCAGGGCTGTTTCCTCTGTGCTTGCACATGATCCAACCCACAGTGTCCCTGGTATTACACTGCCTCCAGGCGACGCGAACACTTTTTTCATTGCTTTGTCGGCTTGCCGGCAGTGTGAAGAAGAAAATACAAATGGGTGCGTGTCCAGCACGGCGGTCCTAAATGTCCGCTGAGACGGATGGACTTGGAAGTGTGGCTGTGAGCGCGTAGCTTTGGCGAGAATCGTGAATCAAGAAGTTCTGAGTCGTGATACGCCGCCACCATGATGTCCTCTTACGCTTCAGATTCTCCCTACGTAGGATAATAAGCTTCATACCTGTAACTCGAATAAACATTTTCCATAGGATTACTCATCGTGTTCTCATTTTGCCATGAATGCCATATTTCGCGATCCTACCTGACCTACCCTAAGTCGGCTCTGGCGATTGCTCGAAATTTACATTGGAGAAGAAAGAGCGTCGATAGCGAACCAATGCTATGGTGAAATGGGTTCTGCCTCTTGATTCTCGATATACCGGTGTCTGTCTTCTTGTGTATGTGTAATTGTTCAAGCTCTTCTAGTAGTATTCCACGTAAATGCTGCCATTTTCCGCACGGCTTGTGGTAGTTTTCCAGAACTGCCAGCTACCCCACCATCTGCTCCATTCTGGAGAGCTAGGTAGGTAGACCGACCTCCGATAACTTTCTCTCTTTTCGCCCAACGCCCAACCAAATCACGAACAAACCCCATCGCCACCTGATCAGAACAAGACGGTGTCGTCGATGCTGACCGCTTCAACGTGACAGGTCACTATGGCGACACTAGGCGGCTATCTCGAGAGTAAACAACCCCCCCTCCTTCCAACCAAGCAAGTTCCAGGATGGCAGAAAACGCTGACCCCCCTCGTTTCACCTCTAGAAAAGGTCCTTGTCGTGACGGCCGACTCTCGAATTCTCGTCGGGACGCTCACGGCGGCCGACCAATCCACAAATCTTGTACGCCTGGACCTCACGCCGTCCTCCCTGGAACCTAAGCTGACCGCCTACCTTAGGTCCTGAGCAATGCGACGGAGCGCATCATCCGCGAGCCCGACGATGACGAGCCGTCAGCCGAGATCCCGCTGGGACTTTACCTCGTGCGAGGAGACAACGTCTGCTCCGTTGGACTGGTGGACGAGAAGCTGGACGAAAGCATCAACTGGACGCAGGTCAAAGGGTCGGTGATTGGTGGCATCAAGCACGTATAGAGGCGGGATGTCATAAGAAGACAAGAGAGGGGCGGTCCATGCTATTTTTTTTTTAACCAAAGAATATTGGTGCTTGATCGAGAAGAACGGCGTTTGGAGTATTCGGAGCAATTACCTACTGAAATGCAGCTTGTGGCATGATCTATTCACACTGGAAAAAATCTATCGAATGCATACCTACTCTATATAGACCAACCAGTGAGCTTCCACCGCCCCTAGAATCGTGACGAACCGTAGATTATGATCCCCCCCTGCGTGTGCACAGAGCCTAAGAAAATATTCTCCTCATCAGCTCCTCCTTGAGCACGGCCTCCCCGGGGGTGCCAGTGATCCGGCGGATTCTGTTACCCTTATCCCCGTTGAACCAGCCGAGAATGTCGCCGGGGCGGTCTGCTGCCGTTTCGGAGGACTTGAAGTTTTTTACCTTTTCGTAAAACTCGACGGCTTTCTCGCGAGGCTTGGCCCATGGTCGGCGGTCAATAACGTGCATACCACGGGTCCACTGGCCAGAGGTTTCGATTCGAATGTCCTCAAGTTGATCCGCAAACTTCCAGCTGGGATCATTGTATGCAATAGCGTACCAGACGGTGAAAGGATCGTGCAGAGATAGCTCCGCATCGATATCGGCGCCTACCATGGACTCGATCTTTCGGAATGCCCCTCGAACAAAGTGTGCTGTCCACGTGGCGAGAGGACTGCCAGCATCAATGTGTGGTTGGATGACCTCGTCGAAATATTTCTTATTGAGGAAATGAGGAGTCGTGATGTCGAGAGGGCAGAGGGTCAGCTTCAGGCGCTTGCTGAGATTTGGTGGATAGGAGGAGAGAACAGAGATGCTCTCTGGAATGACTGGCATGGTTGACTGGGGGTTTGGCGAGGTGAGGGCATAAACACGGGCAGCCGCAATGGCATCGGCGTAGCAGTTGAATTCTGCATTCGGAGTCACGTTGCCCTCAACGTGGACGGCTCCCCCCATGACAACCAGCTCTCTCGCTCTGAGGAACGTCTCGGGGTCGTCGGCGGCGGCCAGAGCAACGTTGGTGAGTGGCCCGGTGGCGAGGATGGAAATGGTGTTTTCTGGGCTTTCCCTAAGAAGGCGGAGGATCTCCTTATGGGCCGGAGACTTGGAAGGTGTGAAGTAAGGGGAATAAGTGTCAGTGCTGTTACTTTCAAACATAGACTTCCAAGTCTCGGCCGGGGCTAGATGAGGGTGTGCTGTATGCACGTTGTGAAGCCCGTCAAGCCCATCTTGTAATACTTTGGTCAGCTCTGGTGATCTTTCTGGGCCACACAGCAAGAAGTCACTCATGAGTACTCACGGAAGTAATCAGCCATTAGCTCCTCCTCCTCCAGAGGATGTTCCGGGCCAACGGCAACAATAGGCTTCTGGGCTCTCAAAACACCGAAACCCTCAGCCCTGCCAGAGGCTTTCCTCCATTCAAGTTCCTTCTCCAGGACATTGAAGAGAGCAACGACATTGTGCAGGCAACTAGACAGATGTTAGATTGATTTTACATTGGATGAATCGGTGGGAGTGACAGCCGAACCTTTGAAGTGGGACATTCCCATATGTGACGGAAATCATTAGAACTTCTAGCTCCTCGGGAGATGCGCTCAGCGCGAGAAGCATAGCCAGAACATCGTCGACACCTTCAAGCAGTCAGTTGAATGTCAAGCATGGGACACATAAAGCATCACGATCTGGCTATATCGCACCTGGGTCGGTATCGATGATGATCCTGTGTTTGGGAGCGGCCATGATGAATACTGAGAGTCAATGTCTGATACAAGCCGACGAAGCGAAAAGGGTTCTTTCCCGAATGATTTGGATGAAAGCTGCAAGGCTTATTTAATTTGATTTCCAACTATCTCTTTGGCACTCCGAGGTCCTCTTGGCTGAAGCGCATGTGCTCTGTGCCCCGCCTCAGCAGGTGGGGTGGCTGTATTTTGCCAGATAAGCCCTTCCCGCGTGATAGGTATTTGCTACAAAGTAGACGAAGGATCAACCAACCCCGCTGGTAGTTGGGGTTTCTCGCTCCTAGACAATGGACTCTATTCAGATTTGTTATGCCTCAAGAGTGCTAGATCAACAGCATTGGGTTATTCCCTACCTTATACTGCCATAGCGCACATGGAAGCTCGATGGGCGAGGCGCTTACTGTGAGCTGGAGCCTATCATTTGTTTTGTCCAGCGAATGTTGAATTTAAAAGCTCTCACTGTTCTCGAACGAGTGATCAATATCCTTATTGATCATTTGGTCTCTCTCACATGTCAATTATGAAACATACTCCAAAGCATTGGTTGTGTTGTGCAGCTGTGCTCTCCGAGTTTGAGAGCAGTAATTACGGGTTATCAATTCAAGTTGACACAGGGTAGATTGATAGGTACTAAATTGCTTCCTCGGTCGGCATGGAAGGTGATAGAAGTTGGGGTCAACAATGCATCTAGGCACCTACCTACTCAGATACTCGTGCAAGATGGACTTCCGTCGATGGCTGGGCTAGACGGCAAGAGTAGAGGTACTGCGTATTGCAGATCCTTCCCAGGTACAAGCCAAGCTCTGGGGAAGGAGCAATAACGCTCCGGCAATCAGATAAAGGAGACGTCCGATTGGTAACCGATGACAGCCAGGGTTGGGAGCTTGTAATGTCCGAGAGCATGCCCGGCAGAGAGCACTGTTAACGCCCCAATCTTTGACAGCCGCGTGTGGTGTTCTTTGAAGAATGCAATGTCTTACTCTGCAACGGATATTTTACTCTTGTCCCTTCACCTGGCTCCCGTTACCCCGTTTCCATGTTTTCTACCTGGGTACCTACCTGCCTACCTGCAAGTGCTCGTATTGTTGAACCCAGTAAGCCCTTGAAAGCGTAAATCAAGAGGAACACGAGGTATCTACGCTATTCTAGATAGCAGACACCTCGAAATAACGAGGCCTGCAGTGACTCTCCTTGGGCCGCGTCGCATGTGCCACAATCTCTGGAACTGGCCATGATGCTGTTCTGCCAAAGCAGGAAGCACCTTCCTCCGGTCACTTTTACTTTAGGGACATGGATGGGACGGGCGGTTCCCAGGCACCAAATACAGTGCCGACGGTGGGTCATAGCACTGTAGTATTGGTCCACTGCCAGAACCACGCGAAGCTGGACTCGAGCTAGGCCAAATACTGCAGCGCGACGTGCCCGCCCCGTTCGGCTTCTCTCCTCTCCATCCGATCATCTGCAGCTAAACTGGATGGCACCATTAACCTTCCCATCAGACCTGCACTAAATACTAATGCTACCTTAGCACTTGGTTCAAATGCTTTGAGCCACCTGGTCAAAACCAAACTTCCCGAGCCCTCGTCGCGCGCACTTTTCCTCCAACCGCCAGCCTGAATCGGTTCCGTATCCCTTTCATCTATCCTGCCCTTGGAAAAACTGCCCCGTCACCCGTTTCCCCTGTCTCTCCTGCGCCAAGGAGCATCAGACGGACCCCTTCTTTTCTCGGACTCGCCCTTTAGTGGAACTTCCTCGCGCTCCCCATATTCTCCACACGGTATTCGAGGCTCCAGCTGCAGAAGCCAACCTGGCCTCATGAGACGCGCCCCAACCTACTAGTCTACGAGGTCGTGACTTCAGAATAATCTTTCTGCTTCGAGACTCTACTCAATCTCCCTCGCCTGTTCCAATTCATCACCACTCGCTTCTCTCTCTCTCACGTTATACCCTCACCTTCCCTCACAAGCAGCTTCTCAACTCCTACCCCTATCCATCCAGGCAGCTTAGCTCCTGCTACATCCTACCCTTTGCGGCCGACTAATCTACAAAACGGGGAAGCAGAAGAGGGACCGGTTTCTCTATCATCGAATCGTGGTTTACGTGGAATTGGCGATCAGTTCAGGATGGCAGACTACCTCTACACTGTTGGCGGGTATCTCGCCCTGGCTGGTGTCGGCTATGTTATCTATCAGGTTTCTACCCAGAAGTCTCGAAGACGGGCAAGCACAGTTCAACCGAAAGCCTCGAGGGGCCCGCAATCTGAGGTCAGGAAGGAAGATAGGAAGAAGAAGCAGCGGATGGAAAGCTTCACGACCGAGTCCCAGGAGGCGAACAAGGCAGCTGCTTCCAAGCCCAAGTCGGCCGAAACCTCCACATTTCTGAGCAATGATCCGAGCAATGATACCTCAAACGATGATGCGGCCAACCGCGAGTTTGCCAAGCAGCTCTCCAAGGCCAAGGAGGGCACCAAGTTCAATACCAAGACGGACTCTGGAAAGCAGAAGGAGAAGTCGGTCAAGCAGTCACGTGCCAACAAGATTTCACCTCCCGCTCAGGAGGTCAAGCCTGTCGCATCTGTCCCCTCGTCGACCACGGTCGACACCACTGAGCCCGTGGTTGATGATGTATCAGCCTCCAACGACCCAGGTGAGACTGCCGCCGCCGACTCCACTGGTGTTGCGGATATGTTGGAGCCCACTCCTGCTGCTCCTTCTGTCCTCCGATTGACCGACACCACCGAAAAGGAGAAGAAGAAGAAGCCTGCGAAGGCACCCGAGCCCACCGAGACGAAGAAACAGCGACAAAACCGCAAGAAGGCCGAGGCCGCCAAGGCTCTCCGTGAGGAGACTGAGAAAGAGCGCAAGGTTCTTGAGGAAAAGCAGCGACGCACCGCTCGCCTCGCTGAGGGACGTGCTGCTAAGGATGGCTCCAAGTTCCTTGCCTCTGCCAACGCCAACTCAGCTTGGGACAAGGGAGCTCCCAATGGTCAGTCCAACAAAGCTGCCTCCACCAACGGATCTATTCAGCTCCTCGATACCGTGGATGCGCCAGCAGCCTCAAAGCCTGCCAAGGTCAAGTCGGAATCTACTTGGATGTCATCGCTCCCCTCCGAGGAAGAACAGTTGGAGATGCTCAAGGACGAATCTGACGAGTGGAGCACCGTGAAGACCAAGGCTTCTAAGCGCTCGGTCAAGAAGGAATCTTCAAACGATTCTGGTGATGAGCCCGCTCAAAGCCGCCCGGCTGCCCAGCCTAAGCAACCCAGTGCCTCTGCTGCTAGCGCTTCGAAGCCAACATCATCCTTCGGATCCTTCTCCGCACTTACCAGCAATGATGAGCCTGCCGATGAAGTTGAGGAAGAGTGGGATGTTTGAAGTCTGCTAGGTAGGATGGAAGAAACATTTTCCTAGTTATTTCCTATGTTTTTCCCCAACATGTACGTTGTTAGTAGAGCTGCTCATTAGCATCTCCTCAAGGTTGTAAAGTAAATACCCGCAGAAGCTCAAGCATATTTCCTCCAGTTAAAGGCGAATAGCAAGGTCACAGCCTTTGTTCTTGCTTTTAGTTGATATTTTCCTTTCCTTTTTTTTAACTTCTCAATTTGATTTTCGTCATATGGGTTTGGGCTGCATGCCCTGGAACTGGGGCCGGTAAGCTGCAAGTCTTTTGATTTGCATGGATCGCCTCTTCTTACTCAAGATTCCTGGCAGGTTGTATGAAAAAGAAATTTGAAGAACGAGATGAAAAGTTATTTGTGGTCGGATGGGTAACCAATACTGGTGTCTAGGTGGGAGAAAGCATCGTGATCATTTCCGAGGCGAGGATTGAGGCTGTCTTTGTTCCGAGGACAATCACTCAAATCTTCTAGTTTTTCCTAGGAGCTATCTTCAATTGACAGCACAGATAATTGATATTGATGTCCCGATAGTTGCGAGTGGGTGATTATGAAGGCATGTAGTGGTGCAGAACGACGCCTCACGTTGCAGTGGCCAAGGTACCTCTACTAAACGGGATGGTGACACAAAGAGTGATGGCTGGTGGGTGTGGTGGGCATTGTTAGAGACAATGTACTGCGAAGATCAAAGACATGCTGCTCTCGTTTGTCTCTTGCAAGCGATTGCCGGGGAATCTCACACCCGCCGAGGGGTTGGATGATACAGCCATCACAAACCGTTTGCACATTCCGTTATTCGGCTAAGCACATTGATCAATTGGGACTTCTTAGATCCTTGAGCTGATCTTGTGACTACGAGGATTTGCAGCCGGAGTGTGGCTTCGTGGTACTTTGGGCAGGCATGCGCGTCTCATGCATGCATGCAGGCGTCTTCATGTGGTACATGATGGGGGAGAGGTGCATATAGCTCGTCTGTATGCAGTAGACTGTATAGGCACTACTGTTGGTGCTACGCGAGACACTCCAGCTGGGCAGCAATGCCACTTCTGATGTGGAAAATCTACAGCTTGCCAAGTCCATGTATCTTAATGATGGTATGGGGAGAATTCCGCTTGCGGGCTCAGAAGTGTGTTGGAGGGTTCAGAGTCTAAATTATGCTTGGAAAGTCTCGGGAGAGCGGTTCCTCACCAACATGGCATCGTGCAACCCAGAGACATTTCTGTCGAACTGTAAGTCACCAGTGTCACACAGCATCAATAATACATACGTAGCGGGAAGGGCTGGAATGCGCGGCAGGGATACTGGTTGATTGTGGTGAATGATCGGTTCAAGGGTCGAGGAGGTTTCACTAAGTGAGGCATTAGCAGCAGTTTCAGGAGGACGGTTTCTCGCTATTGGGTGTAGTCGCGTGGGACCTTGAAGAGCCTGGGCCCCCTGGCGCTGCCCCTGATGAGGGTTCAAGGGCCGCGCAAATTGCTGCCCTCCAAACACATGGCTCAGGTCCGCGGGAGGGTAGGCACATGAGTGTATTGGCCAGGGGCTGCATGCTCTGAACCCTTTGGGACCGTTGCTGAGGGAAGGCTGATGCATGGCGGCTAGAAGGGGCTTAGGATCAGCGGTGGGAGAAGAGGGCATTGGGGAGGAGTGTAAGTTGCCAGTCTGCAATACGGGAACTTTGTTTCTTAGCTTTCGGACACGAGTATGTGATTGCGGAAAACGATAATAATCAAACACGACGTGCTAACGGCCACTACAAGGGCTCCAGATACGGTATATGTGGTATGGAAATGATGCACATTTGCTAGCTTGGGGGAAAGGGCGCCACCCTGAGCATGAGCCAAGTCCGGGTCGTAGCACAAGCGCCTGCTGCTTGCAGCAAGTTGCAGGTTCCAACCTGGGTCTACAATGGATGGGAGGGAAGAGAAACAAACAAAGACGTGCAGCGAATGCTATACGAAATGCCCGACTGCCGGGGACTTTAGCGAGCCTGCCCTACCCCAATGCTCCGAATGCCTACCATACTACTCTGTGCTTCGAGCGAGAGGCGAAGGGGGCGAGTACATCATCCATATTTCATACTGGCTGGTGCCGCGCGGACTGGGGTGGACCGCCAAGCCTCCCGCCTTGACTGCACTAGCCAACCAGAGGGCGGGCGTAGCCTTGGCCCTTGCTTCTACGAGCCACACAGCAGCAGTTCTTTCTGCATGGAACCCTCCGGGTATCCCTCCCTACCTTGCCTCGCTGTCGAAGGAGCCTCCCCCGCTGGGCTCGATTTCCCTGCGCGCTAGGCCAAGGACTGTATGTAGCAGGTGGTGCACACGCAGGCAGGGGTTGGCACCACTCCTCTCCAGTCCCCACTGCATCTATCCACTGTGGCCCCCTGCCTGCCTGCCTGGAGGACGTCGTCGTCTTTCGTTGTTCGCTTGAGTGTTGAACCGTCCATCCATTCCAGCTGCATCCCACGCACGCCTGGCTATGCCTCGCCACTACTCGTTCTCTTCGCTTTTCCTTTGAGTCCATCCCCGCTTCCCCAACGTCTGCATTCGTGCAGCTGTGCTATTAGCTTCCCTTGTGATTAACTTTTGTTTTCTTTCCCTCCTTTTTTTTTAAACCTTTTCCCGCGCTTGCCATAAAGACAACGAACGCCCCATCCACTCCCACAGCAGCAGACCGACCCTCTCCGCCCATCCCGCCTTGTCTCCCATCCATTCGACTGGACTACAGCACCACGTGCATCAATACAGCGATATCCTCCTGATACTTTCCCCGCCGTATCTTTGTCGCCGCAGATGTCGATCGATGTTCTTGGTTCAATTGTTTGATTGACTTGGTTGCTGTCTCATTCGGCCGTCAGCATCCTTGTCCGTTTCCGGTTTCTCCTTCTCGTCATACCACCCGACTACCACCTTGGCCACTCCCAATATACACTTCGGCCTCCGTCTTGACTCAATGCGGCATCACCTTCTACCCTGAGACCTCTCACCATCGATTGCACCCGTGTTGATGCTGTCGGCCACGGCAGAGCCTGCGGTCAGCTATGTCGTTCCCAATTGCCTTCCAGTCTGCTGTCTTCTACGTCATAGCTTGCACGCCATGCGCCAAGATACGGCATAGGCATAAAGTCAAGGAGAGGGCCAAGAAGGAGAGAGAGGAGAAGGAGAAAATCCATATGGAGCAGCCAGATCTTTACCGCCACCCGTCGCCGTTCAACACCAACCCATACTGGCATGAGGAGATGAGCATGGGTCCCAGTCTACCCAAGAAGTCCAGCAGCAAGAACTCAAGCCAGCGAGGTCTTACAAGCTCGGGGAGGGATAGCGAAGTTCTAAGTGTATCCGACCGTACCAACGGCGCTGACAGTCGGATAAACTTTGGTGAACCAGTACATGTTGTTACCAGCGCTGACGAGGATGACCACTGGAATCGGCGCCACGGATATCAAAGAGAAGACGAAGAGTTGTGGGGGCAATGGCCAGGGCACAGGCTCAAAGATGCCTTTTCCAAGGCCAGAAACTCGGCAGGAAAGCTCATCGAGTCCACCATGGGAGTGGAAAAGGAGGTCACGGACCAGGAGCGTCGCGATTTCTACTTTGCACCCAAGAATCCTCCTGTGAATGACTATCACCCCCCAGTCGTGAGCAGTAAAATTCCGAACCGAAATGCCCACCAATGGATGCTTCAGCCTCCCCCTTCAGCAAAGGTCATGGAAGGCAAGATTCCCGTGAGCCGGGCAGCCAGTAGCGGCAGCCGATCAAGTGGGTTTACTGGCGGCGGAGACGATGTGAGGCTGAGTCGTGTTGTGCAGGAGAGGCTTGTTAAGGAGAAGCTTGTGAAGGAGAAGCTCATGAAGCAGACGAGCCCAACCGAAGCAGAGTTGATTGAATCACTATTTGTGACACGCAGTAGCCGGTCCCAGAGTCTTCGCAGGAGCCGGAGCTTGTCCCTGGATGATGTCGAAGAGTCGGTTGAGCGCCCATTTGAGAGGCGTCAAAGCCATAAGATCCGACCAGTGACGAACCCCTCGTCCGAATTGGATTCTGACGACGACACAATGCCCACAGCGAAACCAAGGCCATTATCTCATCTTGGCTACCATGGTCATGCCATCCAACGCCCGAAACTTGACACAATCGTAAGCACCGAATCTGATAGTAGTGCCCGCCTGCCACGAAACACTTCGAGACGTCAAAAGCCTTCAAAGCTGAAAATTCGCACCAGAAGCGATTCACCAGTCAATGACGACAGCGAATAAGTTTCAGCTGCCTCTTGAGATTTGAAGAATTGGCTTGTGGTGGCTGTTTGTGTGTTTCTCTTCCCCTTTCCCCATCACTCTATCTTCCCGCCCCTCGCTTCATTCCCCTTCTGTCTTTCACTCTCTTGGCTTTTCTTCCTTTTTATGGCGACATTGCAACGGCGCATATCGGAATTGGGGGTTTGGATTGTAGCATTTTCTGTTCTTTGGATAACCGTTGGCGCTTTGGGATTCTGGAAAACAAAACTGGCAGGGAATACGGAGCATAGCCTGCACCTTTTTTTTTAGTATGCCTCGATTTTCAATTTCATTTTACTGTTCCCTCGTTCAAAATTAGGACCGTATTTTTTAGTCTCGCTACCTGAATTTCATTTTCCTTTGACCTGAACCCCAGCCTATGCATCGGATCCCTTAACGTTAGTTTTAAATCATGTGCTTCTGGTGTAAAAAAACCAGTCCTGCGATCAAGAGACATGCCGAGTTTCGCATAATCTCGCCCTTCCCCCAGCGTAGCACCGCGGACAACCGAAGGGAATACGCTCAATAATGAAGAACAACGATGGTCGTCGTATCACAGATGCAATCCACCAGACTCGTCCTCATCCTCGTTTGCAATGTCGCCCATTCTTTCCTCCAGAGCTGCCCTTAGCTGTTCATCTGTCAAGCTCCCACCTTGCGCTGGCCGACCGTTTGGTTGACTGTCAAACGTCACTTGTCCGTTGCGGATCGTCCCTGTCTGGAAGGTGCCGTCCGTCCAGGGCGAGGACTGCGGCTCGCCATTCTGTGTGCTCGCCTCCCCCCCGCTGACGCCGTTGGCCACGGCCTGCGACGTCTTCTGGTGTGCGGAGCCGTCCTTGTCCGTGGTCTCGGGCGCCTCGTCCATGCTCTGGAAGTCGACCCAGGCGACGCCTCGCTCCTCAACCTCGGCCCGGATGAGGGCTATCCTCTCGGCCATGCGGTCGATGACCACCTCGTTCTCGTAGATGGCGTCGACGCAGTCCTGGTCCGGCTGGGCGGGGGCGTCCGCGGCGGGGGTCGACGAGAGGGCCGTGGCGGAGCCCTCGGCGAAGGGCATGAGCTGGTCGTTTGAGTACTGGAGGTGGGCGATGGAGTTGCGGATCTCGAGGCTCTTGAGGTGAAGCATGCTGATCGAGAGGTCCTTGAGCGCGGCCGCGAAGCGGGCTGGGGATATGGGGGTGGTGTCGGCGGACATTTTCGTTGTTTTATTGTTGTTCTTCTCCCAGTTAGGGATGTTTGGGCTTGGGTTAGGACTCTTCAGAAGACGTTGGGGAGAGGAGAAGCAGCGGTTATTCTGGTAGCTTGAAGAGGTTTGCTATTGTAATCACTTGCTGCCTTGATGAGCTCGGGCTTGATAAAGTTGATGGAGGGGTGGCTTTTGGGTGGGGTTGGATGGTGGGGTTTTGGTTGCAGCGGCCAACGGATCCCTGTAAAGGTGGAGTTCCAAGGCTGTCCGGTTAGCCTGAGGCCCTTAAACTGCAGCGAGAATTCCGAGAATCAAACCATGTTGGGATTCTTCAAAATATCGTCTCTTGCCCACCATCACGCACGGCCGAGCCCGCCATTCCCGAGCAATTGCGCTCCTCCCGCGCCGCGGCGTATAATCCGCTGCCAATATGAACTTGCTCTGCCCTCATGCGCCACGGTCGGTAGTGCGGAACGTCTTGAAGGGGTCCTTGCGGTGTAGCGCCTCGAGGATAGGTTCCTCAGTGACGGTATCGCAACGGCCCCAATGCGTTGCGGCCCAGGCCCGGTCCATATCTTTCGTCAATAGCCCCGGACGCAGCCAATTGAGGCCCAGAGGCTCGTATCTTGTCCTCGGCCAGGTCTCCTACGGCGGTCGGCGCACGTTCTTCACCGAGAAAATCGTTCGAAGATACGAGGAGCTCCCCCGGAACTATCGAGACAGGAGCGGTCTCCCGTTCCGTGGGCATGATCTGACGGAGGCGGAGGTGGAGAAGATATTCGGCCCTGACATTGGCGCAGCGACTGCCAATCACCTACTTCGAATTCTACACGGACGACGGGTGGCGGGGACGCTGGATGACCCGGCCTTCTCGATCCACACGGCTCAGTTCTCGGGGGCGGATATAGAGAATGGGTTGGCGTACCTGCGCAAGACGGTCCCTGTTGATGAGGTGGTGAATGCCGGCCTGCGGGCCGAGGATGAGCTGAACGAGATTGCCCTGGAGGAGGAACAGAAGGAAAAGAAGGAAAAGAGGAAGGCAGGGAATGCTGCTGAAACTACGGACGAGGGGAAGACGGAAGAGGAAGAGGTCGTTTATAAACCGGACCCTGTTTACGGGAGGAGTGTACTTGAGGAGATGCGGGCGAGGAACATTGCCAAGGAGAAGGCTCGACAAAAGGCTCTCGAGGAAGAGCAGAGGCAGAAGGAGCTGGCTGGGGAGACAGCGGAGGATCCGCAGCAGCGGTCGCTGGTCGAGGTCGCGGAGGGCGAGCGGCCCATTACCAATCCCGGGATCGCCGAGTACTACAAGAACGCTCAGTCGGAGATGAAGGAGCCGCCCAAGATGAGCCTCTGGGAGCGAGTTGCGCCCTCGCTCGTCACCGTGACTCTGGTGGTTGGGTTCTGCGCATCCCTGTGCATGGTGTACGAGGAGCCGGAAGACCGCTACAGGCTCATCCGCGAAATTCCGATCGCGAGCGCTACGCTGGGTACGATGGTTGGGTTGAACCTCCTCGTGTACCTTGCGTGGAGGGTCCCGCCGGCCTGGAAGTTCCTGAACAAGTACATGGTTCTGGTGATTGGGCTCCCGAAGCCGATCACGCTCTTCACGGCGTCTTATTCTCACCAGAGGATAAGCCACCTGTTGATGAACATTGTGCCTCTCTGGCTGGTGGGTACATACATGCACGAGGAGCTTGGCCGGGCCACGTTCCTGACTCTTTACCTCGCCTGCGGCTCCTTCGGCTTCCTGGGCAGCCTGATCGCGTACGGAGCCAGGGGGATGCTGGGGACCACGACGTTAGGAGCATCGGGGGCGACGTTTGGGTTGATTGTCGCCTGGTTCTGGGAGCACCGGATGGAGCGCTTCAAGATCTTGGGGATGCCGGAGAGCGGCGTGCATGGCATTGTGTACTGGGCCCTCATCGTCGCCCTCCACCTCACACGGCCGAGCAGGATCTTCTCAGGCAGTGGTGGAATCGACCTGGTGTCGCATCTGGTCGGGATGGCTGTGGGCATGATTGGCATTGAGCTGATCAACCGGGCCGGCATGGGAAGACGCGACGCTGTGGATGGGGGCCAAGAAGAGGAGCAGGCGAAGGACGGCGAGAGTAAAGATCTCGTGAAGGATATAGTTCCTGTTGGCACGGCGTAGAGGCTCTACGAGCCAGGATGTGGAGGCCGAGGGGATGTTTCCAGGCATCCCCGTGTTCCATTATTTGCCATTTCTCCTCTTCTTGCTGTCGTTGCAATGTACATCTAAATATCAAGCATCTATATCTAATAGAGAGACGACATGAATATACAATATAGTTATAGGGCTGTTCCTCCTTTTGAGAGCTCGAGACACGAGTCGGACACCCAACTAACGATCCGTCTTCATTATTTCATGAAAATTCTTCTCAATTTTGGGAAGAGACTCGTTGAATGAAGATGAAATTATGCGCGTCACATCCAAAGCTGTGGAATGCATTGAGTTCGAACATACAGGGGTGTGCGGCAGCTCTGGATGATCAGTCACATTGCGGGACAGCGAATGATCTCTCAGTGTAATTAAACAATCTAGGGAATGGGGCTAGCAGCGGGGGAATAGACATAGTTTTGCTTTTAGTGACAGCCGCTGTCGTGGTACGTGGTACGACGTGATATATCTCCTCTACATGTAAGTGGAGGACTGCCCCAGGGTCACGAAGGTGGTACGTCTCTCGCGCGAGTTTGGCGCGGGGACAGGGGTAGTCGCGCGGATCGCGCGTCAGTGGAGACGAGACGACCCGGGGAGAGGCCCACTGATGCCCTGTTTCTTCCAGCCACACGCAGATGGAACAGGCGCCCCAGGAACCCACCTCAGTGGGCGGTGGGATGTCCGGGCAACGGCCCTGCAGTAGACCTGCGACACTGGCCAGGGTGGGGGCGCTTAATTTGGTTGGTTGGGTCGCTGCTACGGTCAAGCGCTCCAGGAAAGCGAGTATTGGCACCACGGATGCTCATTGCGATCTTCTCGTTTTGCTTGCTCGCAGGATTAGTCTGGACCAGCCTAGGTCACCTGTCTCACCGTGGCTGGATATTGGTAGTGTGCGGTCTGTCATGCGGGAGAGGAGGTCTGCACGGGCGTGTACATGGTACTGGGTGTGTCGCATGTATGATGTATCATACATCATCCCCCCAACTCCCGCGGGTGATTCTGCACTCTGCATGCAGGAACGTCATCGGTTGAAGATTGCCACTCTTCTGTAACCCCCTTGGGTTTGCTGTCATATATGGCCTAAAAAAAATTTCCTGCGCCCAACTTACCCTGGCCGCGGACACGTAGGGCAACTCCTGCTATCTGGCGCAGCCATTGAACCAGCATAGAATGACATGACAGAAGCTTTGGCCGGTTTATTTGAAAGGGGGGGTGGAGGAATGGATAGTCTTGCGGTCACAGAGTTCGGATCAGGTGAGATATTTTCTCGGGCCTGGGCTAGGCTTTTCCATTCGGTTCCGGTGTGCCATTTTTCTTAGGGGGCAAAGGGCATTAATTATGGGGATTTGGATGAGGGGCATGCGCTGGCGTTTTACCAATCTCTCGAGGTAAAAGTGTAAACAATAGTTGAAGTGAAATAGATGGGAGGGAGGGAGTTGGGTGTTGGGTGCGGTGACATAGTTCCGCAGGCGGTACCTGCAAGCTTGTACCTGGGTACTTGCCGGGCCAGTGCACTGCCATGGTTACGGCCACGAAGCGGGTTAGCGGCAGGCCGCCTTGCCTCAAAGGAGAGCTATGAATAGCGGATGACTGGTGGTGGGGTCCCCAAAACAAGTCGCCCCGGAAGTACCCGGTACCTGGGAGGCATGTTTGTGTTTGTCGGGAGATGGACACAGAACAGAGTGTGCGCAAACCGCCAACCAACTCTCCCAGCCCGGCCTATGCTGACCACAACTACCCTGCCCTGCCGCCTACCGCATAGCCTACACAGCCAGCTCGGCACTAATCTGTCTCTCTCTTCCCTTCTTGTTTGTTTCCCTTGTTGTCCAGTATCCTTAACCACTTCCATTCTTCGGCCTGGCAAGTCAAGCACGCACTATTCACCCGACAGCATGACCTAACTCCACAACCGGCATTTAACCTCTCCCGCGTTTCTCGACATATCCCTTGTTTGTCTCTCACCAACCTTCACGAGCTACCATTCCGTGATTGCTCTGCGTTCGCCTGCCCCATCTTCCCTACCTAGAGAGTTGTGGAAGGAGCCGTAGCCTCTCAGTTGGCTGAAAGGAAGGAGGAGAGCAACCTAGAAACCTACAAAGACCCGTCCGCACGCCGCAGTCATGGAGCCTATTTCGTCAAGTCCGCTATCTTCGGTAGCCTCAGCCCCAGACTCAGAGTTCTCGTCGCCACTCTCACGGCTCTCCAAAACACCATCGTTACCCAACTCCCCCGATAACAGCATCGTCATGTCGCAAGACCCTGCCAATCGCTACCCTTCGCCCATGTCGACGACTCCCTCTTCCGGAACCCAAACACCGAGCAAATTAGAGTCTTCCTCCCGCGCTGGGAGTAGGCCACCCCCATCCAACGCAGATTTACCAGTCGAGGATAGACCCCCGCCTGCAAAAAAGCGTAGAGTTGCTGCGCCGCCCAAAGTACGAACCACCGAATACCTTGATCTCAGCAAGCCCGACCCGGAGTTTTCCGCCGATGACGAGACCCTGCGGCAAAGGCTGGTCACCGCCCTAAAGAAGAAGAAGAAAATTGTGGTCATTGCAGGCGCCGGTATTTCTGTATCTGCCGACATCCCCGACTTCCGCTCCTCCACCGGTCTGTTCGCGGCCCCAGGGTCGCAAAACCAGAAGATGAGGGCATCTGGAAAGCACTTGTTTGATGCCTCCGTCTACAAACATGATGCATCAACCCAATCTTTCCACACAATGGTTCGTGAGATGGCTGAAATGGCCAACAGGGCCAAGCCCACACCATTCCATCAAATGCTGGCTTCCCTCGCTCAGGAAGGACGACTCCTTAGGCTCTACACTCAAAACATTGACTGCATTGATACCTCAATGAAGCCGCTCGCTACCCAAGTACCCCTTAACCCGAAAGGTCCCTGGCCCAAATCTATTCAAATGCATGGCGGGCTGGAGAAAATGGTATGTACTAAATGCGGCGATCTTAGCCCATTCCGAGGCGAGGTTTTCGATGGACCTGAAGCCCCCTTATGTGCGGCCTGCGAGGAATTGGAGAGTGTGCGCGTTGAGTACGCTAAAAAGCGAGGCCGCGGCATTGGTCGACTCCGACCGCGCTTTGTGCTCTACAATGAGTACAACCCGGATGAGGAAGCCATCGGCAATGTCTGCCGCGCAGACCTCAAGACACGACCTGATGCTGTTCTCGTTGTTGGCACGAGTCTCAAGGTCCCCGGCACACGACGATTGGTCAAGGAGATGTGCCAGGTCACCCGTGGTCGAAGGGATGGATTCACAGCCTGGATCAACGTCGATTCGGAGCCTAAGGGGGCCGAGTTTAAGGACTGCTGGGATGTTGTTGTGCGCTCCAAGTGCGATGTGATTGCGAGAGAAGTCGCCCTCCCTCCGTGGGATTGCACCCTCGGTGATGATTATAAGGTGTCTCCCGAGGAGCACCAGGAGAACGAGAAGCGATGGAACACGCCTGCACTGAGCCCCAAATTCGAGGTCCACGTGCCTGTTGTTAAGCCTAAGGCGATGGAGGAGGTTGCGGCTATGCCGACACCTGTTTCCAGCCCTGGGAGGTCTGCCGAGCCACAACTTGCCAAGAAGACAAAGCAGAGCAAATTGGCATTTGGTGCTGCTTCTCAGGCCTCGAAGAAACCTACCAAGGCTACGAAGCCTCGTGTTCGCAAGCTAAAGAAGGCTAGCAACAAGGACGCCTCCTCCAACACAATGCTTGACAGTTTCAGGTCCGTTAAGAATGTTATCGACCGGCCGGGCAAACCCGCTGCGAAATTACTGGACAAGGATTTCATCGAAGTGCTACCCCTTCAGCCATCAACAGGCGACAACATCATTATTAAGCAGGAGGTGACCATTAAGGGGTCAGATGAGATTGGCTTTGACCAACCGACAACACCGGAGCACAAGCGCCTACATTTCAAAGAAACGATATCTCCTAAATCACTCCCCAAGGGAATGGGACGTCTGATTGATGTATGAATAAATTTTTGTATGTGTTATTCTGGTGTTGTATTGGAAGTAGGCGAATAATGCAACGATCGCCCTGAGTTTTTCTATTGGGATAGACATGGCAATAGATGGAGGATACCTGAAGCATCAAAAAACGAAAGGAGTTGGGCGGCACTTTATATATTCTACCACCGCATCTGTATATATTATCTGTGTTCATGGAGTTTTGGGGGCTGGGGCAGGGTCTATGTCCCGCACAGTCGAATACATCAACGTACCAGCAAGCATACTATTATCTTAGTCGCCGCACATGGCGTTGGGCATGGAGAGACGAGGCGCTTTTCTTTGATAAAATAGCATATGGGGTGACGGAGTGAACCGTCGGAGCAGGGCTGAGACCGAAAGCCTGTACAAAATACGGACCTTAGAGGACGAAATATACATATCATCAATCCCACGATAGCTTGCGCCGGCGGAATGAGAAGGGGGTCACGTGGCGAAAGCATAGTCCCAACAGGAGGGAAACAGTTCAGCATATCCAACGCGAAACCGGCTCTCCCAATTTAGTTGGAGAAGCACTAGGGACACAAGATACACGATGTGGCCATTACTGTTCCTATATAATCGACCGAGGAATAAACATCACTCATCTCATTCACACAAACCTCGTTTCCGGGGGACCCAGGTACGAATCTTTCGCCGCTCCCCTGAACTCAACCACGATCTTCTCCAGGTACAGCTCGGGGGAAGTTGCTCGGTACCGCAAGGTATGTTTCCCCGGCGCGACTTCACCGCCGAAATCCACGGTCCTCTTCCATACGTTGTCGGCCACACGCTCCTCCCAGTCTGCAGGCAGATCGCCAACCACCTCGGGGTCCTCGAGCAGCCTTGTGAAGCTGCCGGTGTTCCCACTGTCGTCCAGCGCGAGGGAGTACGCAAGGGGCAGGTCGGGGTCCGTGTCGAGTGCGCCGTTGAAGTGGAGGGTGGCTCTGAGGGCCCCCGTCAGCTCGCCGAAGAGGTAGATGTCGTAGTCCACCCAGGCCTGCTGCGTGACGGAGCCGTCTTCGCGTGCGGCTTGGAAGGGGCGGAGGGCGAGCGAGCCGGACTCGCTTCGTGTGCCGAGGTGGGGGATGATTTCGAAGCCCACGCCGTCCTCGGAGGCGGACGAGGAGTTGGAAGGGGGGGTCCCTGAAGAGCGCTGGAAGTGAGGGGCTTCGATGGATATGACGTTGTTGACCTCGGGGAACCCGGAGAAGTCGGCTGGGACTCGCAGGTTCCTGACTGAGACGCCGAGGTTGTCAAAGTAGGGGGCGGGCTCCCAGTCGATTCGCACGTCAAACGTCTCGTCGAAGCCTTCTGGCACCTCGCTCCAGTCTACTGTCACGTTGAGCCGCTGCTGAGACAGGTCGCTGGAGAGTGTTCCCGAGGTGGATGAGAACTTGAGCCAGCTGTATGGTGACTCCAGAGACCAGGCCAGGTTCTTCCGATGGTCGCCTCTGTGGAAGAGATCTACCGTCAGCAGGTCTGGACCGTATGGTGTGAAGGTCGGCAGGAACGGCCTCAGATCGCCTTCGGTAGGGAACGCAGGGTTGGCGGATGCGATTGTCCGCCCCTGACGGATTGCGCTTCCGCAGCCCTCGGCGTATATGCCCAGGTTTCCGAAGCTGTAATCAAACTCCTGCCGCGTCTGGATGTACGAGATGTTGGTGATGACGTCGCGCGAGGATGGCTCCGATCTGTCCAGGCCGACGTCGAACTTGGGAGTGGACAGCATGCCTGCCCACTTCCCGTCGACAAGGCTCTCGTACTCGATGACGAGATCCCACTCGTCGGCGAAATCGTCGAGGATCTGTTGGGCGACCTCGTTGCACGAGTTTCGTCGCTCCTGAGCATACTGCCAATTCGTCGCGCGGTTGACCATGATGGAGTGGAATTTCGCTCCGGCCAGTGCTGGATAGAGAGCGTGGTGGTGGAACACGATGCGTCTGTCCTCTGGCAGTCGGTCGTAGATGGATTTGGCCCTCTCCGCCAGCCCATTCCAGTCCTTGACGATACGCTCCCCCTCGTGGTAGTTCATGACCGAGTACGTCTCAGGGAGTGTCATCTCGTACTTCCGGCGACCGACCAAGCGGCTGTGATTGTAGAGCACGCTTGCAGCCTCCTCGGCGAACTCCTCACCGAATTCGCGGGCGGAGAACCGGGTGAGGTACTCGGGAATGAAGTCAAAGTCGAACTTTGAGATGTTCCAGGCCATGTCCATGGCGAAGGAAAACGGTAATTCCAAGGGCTTGATATCCTCGACGTTGAGGATCCAGATCTGCCTCGAACCTCGCTCATATGCATGATACAGCTCCTTGTAGAGTTTTGGCTGAAGTGAACAAACATCTGTTAGGTCTCAACATATCCTGAAATACTCGCTATGGGGCAGTCCTTACCAGGTTGTTTGTGTTGTGCCATTTATAGGCTTTGGGCACGCCGACGTAGGCAAGGTGATGATACAACTAGAAATAACCCATGTGTATCAGTGATGTGGCACATTTTAACCATACGGAAATCGCATACCCCGTAACCTCCTTCTCGGCCAAGCTCTTCCTTCTTTGGGAGTCTCCGGATCGTCCCCCAGTTGTCATCAGAGAACATGAGAGTCACGTCTGTTGGGGGGACCAGACCAGATTCGTAGTAGCCCTGGACCTCCTTATAGACAGTCCATACCTCTGTTCAGGGCGTAAGTGATAGTCTCATACAGCGGGAGAGATGAAGTCAAGTCTAATGGCTACTTGGGAAGGGATCAACATACGGGGAGCTGCGGATTCATTCCCGTGATACTTGGCAATCATCTGCCTCTGGGTATCCATGATATCCGTCAAGATGGCAACGGGGTCGTCGCCCTCGATGGGGCCGTCGGCGTCTGAGCGCATCCCAAGCGTGAAGTAGGACTCGTTGGTGCCTGCGCGGCGGACACCCTCTTCCATGAAGGCCGCCACGTTCTCCTTGTTCTCCTCCCAGTCCCACCGCCCCTCGCCCTCGACGGTCCACTCGTTCGAGGCCCTCTGCATGGGCTCGTGGTGGCTGGTCGAGATGACTATCCCGTAGTCGTCGGCCACCTGCTGGTTCTTGGGGTCGTCGGTGAAGAAGATGCGGCCGGGGCGGGGGATGTAAGACCGCCACATGGCGGGCCACATGAAGTTCCCCCTGAGGCGGAGGATCAGGTCATAGACGTGGGCGTAGAACTTGGAGTCAAAGGTGTAATCGCTGACGTTGTTCTTCTTCGCCCACCACTGGGTGAGCGCGGGAGCCTCGTCGTTGATGAAGAGTCCCCGGTACTTGACACTCGGCTCCCCGTAGGTGGTGGTCTTGGGCAGGGCATAGATCTTCTCGTGTTTCTGGGCAGGCACATCGGCCCAGAAGTGGAGGCTAAAACAAGACTCAGTAACAGAGTGTAAGGCTGGTTTTGTAGATATAGTAAAGCAAGCAGGGGACTTATTGGATCGGCATATATACTGATTGAAAAGAAACACAGATGAAAACAGACAGGCTTGAGAACTGTCAAACTTACGGAGACTGGCCGCTCTGTTCCGACAAGGTGTAGACACCAAATGCCGCTCCTCGTTTATCACTTCCCGCAATGAGGAGCGCCCTCTTCACCCCAGGAAGAGGTTCTTCAACGATGGAAGTCTGGAAGGTCTCCCATTTCCCTCGGATGCTCGATACATCGATCTTCTCATTTGCCTCCAGGGTCTTGATCAGATCCGAGTCCACTGTAGCAGCGATGATGGCTGATGCAACCTCATCATCCCCACAAGAACCCGTCGAGGAGGACCACTCGCAGACGGAAGGCTTGTTCCCCGTGATCTGCTCCAAGTCGTCCGCAAGGCTGTCAACAGCTATACGGACGGCTTTTGGATCCTGAGGGTCATATATTATAGTGGCATTCTGGAGCTCAAGCGCTTCAGCATTGCCGGCTTCAAAGGCGACGAACCGCTCCTCAAGTAAAGCCATCCCGACATGCGAGATGCTGACGAGGAGGAGTGGTATGATTCGCCAAGGAAGCAGCTGCATGATGCTGATCAAACACTCGAACAAAAGGGCTAGGCAGGATCTACTCGGAAAAAACAAAGACCGCTTGGGGTCAGTTTTGGATGGCTGATCTCGACGCACTCCGCTGGTGATGGACTCAAATTATACCATCTCAAACTTATATCTTCTCATCGCCCTTCTCTTTCACTTATTCACCTTTCTGGCCCCCTTTTCACCTTTTATACCCATTTCCAGCAGGTGTTGTCTATCGCAATTAAAGACTTGTTTGGAATTTCCCACTTACCCCATCCCTGCAGTGAAACGCATGGGGGTACTTTGCTCAATAGTTGGGGTCCGTAACATCTGTTCACCAAGTCCTCCCCCATAATCCAGGTGATGTATGGGGGACAGGCCCTGGGGGAGGAAGCAGCTGATGCATCGAGCAAACCTTCGTTACCAACAGAGATATCATGCGGGCACGGCCATGTAGCATTGGATAGAACTCCAAGTGAGACAGGACCTGAGCACGTTATGGCACAGTTCTGGCTCGCTTTCCTTGGCCCCCATTGTCTCGGAGTAATTCCCTTGGTCCCGAGGCCATGTTCTCGTGAGCCCGAGTTGGGGATAAATGCGGAATGCAACCTTGGCCCTCACCTGGAGGGGCTCGGGTTAATGCAATGCGAGGCCGACTGAAGATCCCCCTGCTAGCCCCGTGTGGGGGAACGCTTCGGCAGAGGAGCAAATAAGCAGTTGATCGTGGCAGGGTTCAGATTAAGCACCGTCCTCGGTGTGGAGATGGTCTGAGGCCGTCATCGTCTTGACTGGGGCGGCTGTTCTGTTCGTAGCCCGTCGAGGGAGTCTACCCCGGCGCAAGTGATGTCGTTGAGTGAAGAACCAGGTAACCAGTTTACCCGTCGAGGACAGCACCGGAGTAATGGCCAGTTCGCGCCGGGTATATAGTCGATCAAGATTCTCTCCCCGTAGCATTTTAGCCATTGCTCTGAACAGACAGCTGAGCACTAAACGGAGCGAGTGTCGATAATGGCTGTCAAGAGCCTCCTTGCCTTTCTGGCCATTGCCACGACGGCCCATTCCAAGTGGATCGTCCCCGGTGCCCGCTGGTACGACACTGAGGGTAACATCTTCAATGCTCATGCCGGCGGTCTGGCCATTGATCGTGACACCGGGAGGTTCTTCTGGTTCGGAGAGCACAAGACCAAGGAGGACCCCGAAGGCGGTGGTGTCTCCGTGTACAGCTCCGACGATCTTGCAACCTGGACATCCCATGGCCTTGCCCTGAGTGCGTCAAGTGTTTCATTGCTCCTCCACATCTCTGATCTCTCTTTCTCCTTTCTGTTCGGATCCGCTAATGCAGGTCTCATATAGCCCCCGAGGACGGTCACGAGTTCATATCCCCAGAGAGCATTATCCAACGACCCAAAGTCCAGTACAGCGATGCCGACCAAAAGTACCACGTAAGTATGCCCGTGTACTGCCCCCCGATCCCCATTACGTAGCTTTCCAGAACGCTGAGAGTCAAATGATCCTTTCAGATGTGGTGGCACGCCGACGACAGCAAGTACAGCCTCCTCCTGCAAGGTCACGCTACCTCGGACAACATCTCCGGGCCGTACGTGTTCGACAAGGCCGTCGCGCCTCTGGGCAACTGGTCACAGGACTTTGGGCTCTTTACCGACTACAAGGATGGCCGGTCATACGCCCTCTACTCCAACGGGGACTCGGTCCAGGGCCGCGACAACTACCTCACCAGGTTCAACGAGGGCCTCACTGACCTCGAGGACGTCGTCTACACCTGGCCCAAGTTCGATCTCGAGGCCCCGACCATCATCCAGACAGAGAAGAGTTACTATGCTCTCATGAGCCACAAGACCGGCTACCGGCCCAACAGTGAGTGGGATGGAATGGCCCGGGCATTGAACACTCTGCATCCTCTTTTCAACCGAACTGACGGGAGAAATTTCTAGATGTCGTCGCTTTCCGAGCTGACAGCCTGGAGGGTCCGTGGTCGCAGCCATTCTTCGTCTCTCCAGCTTACACTCGAACTTTCTCGACCCAATCGGGCTTCTCATGGCGGATCAACGGTACTAAACAGACAACCTATCTCTACATGGCGGATCAGGTATGTCTTGTATTCACACTCCATCTCCTTCCCCCTTTCCTCTCCCTTTGTCATATGCCCAGAACAGATGTTAACATGAAGTGTAGTGGGACGGAAACTCGATCTGGGAAAGCCGCAACGTGTGGTTGCCAATGGACATCGATGACGACAAGGGCAAACTTGAAGTCAAGTGGCACGACATCTATGATCTTAACGTGTAAGTGCTAAAAGGAATCCGCTTATGCATTCAGACTTGACGCGCGCTAACTATCGGCCTCTCATAACAGCAAAACCGGCGAGTGGGAACCTGTTGAGGGCAGAGAGTACCCTGCTGCAAAGGCCAAGACGACTGGCGGTGCGTACTTGCAAGAAGCTGTGAGTCTTGACCCTGACTGTCCATCTCCTCCCCTTTCCACCCTTCTCACGATCTCATCTACCGAAAAACCGGTTTTTTTTTCCTTACTAATTTCAACCCTTCGTAGAACTTTGCAAGCTTGAGCAAAATCGCAACAGGAATTTATGGAAATGACAGTAAGATCACCTTCGAGGTTGACGGCCAAGGAGATGACCAATGGGTCTCGTTCTACCATCAAAGTAAGTAATTTCTCCTCCTCGTCTTAGAACGGCCAACTCACGGGAGATGCCCAGATATCGACGACATGGGTTTCGGAGATCAGCGTAAGTTCCCAACTTTCCTCACCAAAATCAACCTGTCGTTCACTTTCTCCTGTTACTGACCTCCACCCTCAGCCATGGGATCGCCCGACCGCGTCAATGGCACATGGCAGCTCCGCCGGGTCAGCAGCGTCGTTGTCAATGACAACCAAGACCAAGTACACACGCTGTATCAAAAAGACACGCACAAGGGAATCATCCTTTCCACCGCCCTCAAGCTTCCCCTGAACAAAGGGAAGAACACAATCACCGTCGGCGGTCTCAGCAACGGGGTGAACATCAAGGGTGCCGACCTCGATAAGATCGTCGTCTACCCCCCTGAGCCGCAACAGCCACCAAAGTGCTAGGCAAACGAGGGGCACACGGCCGGATATTTTGGGGTTTCCAATATCGAATCCGCTTGTTTTTCCAAGGATATATCGCTTTGAAGGACTCTTAATAGATTTGCTATGATTTTGAGTGAGAATAAAAGGCTGTCTTGCTTTTTTGTAAGCGAGAATCGGAACATATCTGGGTCTTGATCGTATTTTGTCCGAGATTGGTGAAAGATAGACTAGGAAACCAAAAACAACCAAAGGTAAACAACGGGGTATCAAAAACCTGCGCCCAGGCTCCAAGAAAAAAACATAAATAAAAGGACAGTGCAAGAGGTCTCAAGCGGGGCCGGCCATCACTTGATATGAACCTCGATGGTATCCAAATTGTCAATATCAGCATCCCTCATAGTGATGTAGTCTTCAAGCATTTCGCCATCAAACCAAAGAGTAATTTGGCGAGAAGACGGTATCTTTTGGATGGCTCGGTAGGTCGTTATGACTGTGTCAACAGTCGTCTCTGGCTGAACCTTCAATTCAGCTGGCTCCAAGTCTCGCGCCGCGAGATTGATCTTCAATGTTTCAGTCGAGGATTCCGGCAATTCACATTCTTCGTCGTCGGAGAAGTCCTGGGTTTCGCGTTTCCGACGCTTTTCTTCCTCGAATTGCCTGAAGCCCTCAGGAGTATGTATCCGCATAAGGACCACAGTACCGTCTGGGCTTATGCCATCACGGTTTGAGCTTGGCGCAGTCACCTTACCAGATCCGCAGGGCCTAATAGCCAGATCACGAAGGCTGGTGTGGCTGTAGACTGGTGCGCTACACCATGTCAGGATAGAATCGCTCATGGTAAAACCTGGAGGAAGTGATATATCGAACTTGGCTTGGGTCTGAAACCAAGATTTTCGAATGTCTTTCAGGCTCTTGTCATATTTAACGATCACCAGACAATCCCGAGTGCCGTCGATTTGGCTACTGACATGTACTTTGACGGCTTTATCGTCACAGTCAAAATCGAGATCACGGGAGAGATCACGGGCGCGCTGCTCCTTTGCCCTCTGGACATATTCGGCAAACTCTTCCTCTTCCTCAACGATGTCGTCCTCGACAGGCTCCACATCGCGTATCTTGACATTGGTGCTAGACTGGCTGGGTCTTGCGCTTTCGACCTCATCGTCATCAGAATCTATACAGATTGCGGATGACGCCACCTCGTTTGCAGATCTGACACCAGGAGACTCGGATGGTGGCAGTTCTGCCAGCCGCCTGCTTCTTCTGGGAGAAGGCGAGTCTGGCGCTGAGGACTGGCTCAAAGATGTTGCGCCTGGGCTCCATTTTGAGGACCATGATTTATCAAGCCTCGCGCGCTTGGACGATGGTGGGGTGACCAAGCTACTACAACTAATGTTAATATCTACAGTAGAAAAGGAATTGGCAAAGATGGCGCATAAGGCTGGGTTGTACCTTGGGGGTTCCTCATCCTCCTCGCCTGTCTGTGAAATGCCATCTTCTTGATGTCCGTCTCCTCGCGCATCTCGTCTTTGACTTCCACCGGCGGAAGCCTTTTCTGTGGACTGGCTGGCGCTGGGACTGCCATGTTCCTCCTCGTCGCCGTCGTCGTCGATGGGCCGCTTCTCGGCAGATCGTCTGGACTTCTCGATTTCCTTCTTCAATTTGGTCTGTTTTCTCCTCCATCTCTCTTCCTCCTCCGCGTGAAGGGCAGGCGCCATCTCCCTAGAGCGGCTAAATAGTTTCGTGACATCGTAGTCGTCCGATCCGGCATCCTTGCTTATGGAGGAGGCTGCCCGTCCAAGGGCCGTGGGCTTGAAGGGTAGCTTTTTAAGCTTTTTGGGTGGTATCGCGTCTGTCGCCATGTCGGTATGGTGAGGAGAGCGAGTGCTCAAGAGATGGAACAAGTCGGGAATGCTGTAGGTAATGGGCTGATGATTGAGAATGCTGGATGTGGGAGCGCGCCAGGCTGCGATACGTCGAAGAAGAAAACCAGAGTGCAGGGGCAGACTGCTTCCCAAAATGCGCGAGCCAACCAGAGAGGCGGCCCGCGGGCTCATCAGCAGGTCAACGCCGTGTAGCTTTTGTCGGTTGACTGCACGGATTGATTGTGCTTAGGGAGGCACTCCTGACCACAGTGCACGGCGGGCTGCATCTGGGACTTCTGCCACTAACTGGACGTACCTCAGATGGCGCGACAGAGCGCGCTAGGCTCCCTTGCCCGCTGCCTGCTGCCATCAGTTTTGCGGCCAGGTACATGCAGCCCCACCATCCCACAGTGCAAATCGGGGTGTGCGCGACGCCTGCGAATGAAACCTTTGAGCATCCAGACAATGGATTGATTGATGCCAAGTCTTCCACCGCACCTCACATCTCACTCACAACCACCTCACCTCACCGCACACTGCCCGGCACATCCCATCCACCAGCCTCTCCATTTCAGCTGCAGCCATGGAGAACGGAAGCGTCAGCCAGGGCGAGGGCAAGGACCCTTCGAGCTTCCTCAGCGACATTATTGGTAACCCCGTCACCGTCAAGCTCAACTCGGGTGTCGTCTATAAGGGTAGGTACTTTCTCTGTTATATGTTATATCTCATTGCGGTTTCAGGCACAACCTTTCCTTTACTGACACCGCTATGCGCACGCAGGAGAGCTCCAGTCTGTGGATGGATACATGAACATCGCTCTGGAGAAGACGACGGAGTACGTCAACGGTGCTAAGCGAAGGGAGTACGGCGACGCCTTCGTGCGAGGAAATAACGGTAAGTGAGAAATAGAAGAACATCGCATTCCACGCGCAACAAGTCGTGACCTAGTACTAATCGCTCATCGCAGTCATGTATATTTCTGCAGACTCATAGAAAGAAAGTTGATAACCCCCAAATCAAAAGATACTCTTCAATTTTTTTGTATTTTGTTTTCATTCATGCTTTATTTCTATAAAATCTTATGTATGAGGAGGCCCACGGCTTTCCCTGATTCCTCTCATGAGCCTACTCCTCTGATATACTTGTGATTTCCTACTTTTTATGCAATGAAGGGCTTAAACAAGCCCTAGATCTCCGTCTCTATGTTCAGATGTTTTTCCTACCACATGATATTGGCGAATCGGTAGTTCTCTTCCTCTTCTTGTCCACCTCGACCTGATCGTGCGTCAGTCATTGCTCAGACCAACGCAACCTTCCAAACAATGGTCACGTTTGCCTGCGACACCACCAAACAAGTCTTCCGGGTGAACATCATGTTCTGAGGAAATCTATACTTGATAGTAGTTGGTGTTCTTGATCCCATCTTGGTCCTTCACAAGACCACCTCGCTCCTTGAGGTCCCTAGCAATAGATTTCTCCTCATATGCCGGTATCAGATGCCCACGTGCCCCTCGAGGGACGTAGCTAGTTACTCTTGGCACAGACGGTGAATTCGGAGCAGTTGCTATGCTCTGGAGACCAACACAGAGCTGTTTCACAGGTTCATGTCTCGGGCACCTGTAAGACTGCCTTGGTGAACGGCATTCTAGAGGAGCATCACCAACGCTGCCATTTCGATTGCAGCTAGGCCCGAGGGGTGCGTCACTATGAATAGTAATATCCATGTCGGGAAGTGAGCCTTTACATTTGTGCACCTCTGTTTGATCTGTTTGATCACCGATGAGTGTGGCCGACGAAGCAACTTGACTGAGGTCGGGTGTGTTGACCTGTGAGATCCAGATGCCCTCGACTTCGATTCCGCGTTGAATTGCACGGACTCCAAAGGGTATATCGTCGGCTCTCAAATAGTCGATCCCACAATGCTGAATATCGAATTGTCGGGCTTTCTTCTCTGCATCCTCCAACTCCAACCTCTGGATCAGCCGATTTGTCCACCAGAGCTTCCCTAAACCAAGTATGAATACGAGTATGATACTGCAGGCGAGAACCTAGAATTGTGAGCTACTGGTTAGCTTGAGGTGCTAATTGATGTCGGGGATGGGAGTCAAGCTGGGACATTACAAAGGTCATTTGTTGCCAAAGCTCCCATCCGATGAAGAAAGTGGTGCCCATTTCGGAATACTCGTGGGCTGCTCATGAGGAAACCAGCCCGAAAATACAGTTACTGGAAGCGAGAGATCCTGGATTTTAAGAATTTCGACAATGCTGGGGGCGGTCAAAAAAAGTCAATTCCAAAAATAAACGAGAGGCTTGGGTCAAACAACTGGCAGCACGTGGCCGTGTGCGACGATGGACTTGATGGATACGTGCTTTTGAGTCAAATCCATCGAGAGAACCACGGATGGTGGAACACGGAGTCGGCTGGTTTATGGGAGCGAGGTAGGACGTGGATCGGACGGGTGAAGAGAGTCAAAAGAGGGTGCTCTTTCCACATCGTGATGATTGGCACATCAGTACCAGGAAGGCAGGCACCGCTCACTGAGCGTTCAGTGGTAACTACCTACCTCTACCTGCTAATATCATTGCCCTACTTTACTTACAGGTAGTACTTCTATTGCAAATATGACATTGAATCACTGCTGGAGATAGAATCAGCTGAGCTGCATGTGAGAAGACGGATAGGTGCAGCCCATAATTTGCTTAACCCCCCAACCCCCAAGAGGCCACTTCGAAATTATTGGTAATACACATCGCTACCCAAATAGAAGTTCACATTCTTCGAGTATTCGATTTCAAATACTTTCAAAGAGACGCAAGGTGGCCTGCCTTGACTGGAAGTAAAGCAGGATTTGCTGTGCGATAGCTAACCTACTAATTGTGTGTCCATGTTACGGCGTCAATATCGAAGTAGGCAGATAATGATTTGCACCTCCACCGGTAGGAATAAGATCAAGACTTGCAAGTAAGGATTCTTGCACGTTGTAGACGTGTCTAATTGTCACACTCAAGTTCCATGTATTACCCATTGCATGTCAAAGACTACCTAAAGGTAGGTAGGCAACTGGGTGACATTGAATTTGAGAGACTCAAAATGCCATACTGCTTATTGTCGAGTCTGCGAGCGGTATTATTAGATTATTAAGGGCTAGAAGTAAATACACAAGGACAATACACCAAGTATTATTAATTTACAACATTTAATACTACCTTTTTGTTTGATTAGTATAGAAAGTGTTCTGCTTGTGACCATCCTTCAAAGTAGTGTCTCATTTCTTCTGTCACCCACTTGGTAGGTTCGTTCGTTTGATATGGTCGCAATACCAACCAGCAGGACGGGGAGCATACAACCCAATTGGACCGGGCGGTCCTATCTTAGGTGGGTAGATTGCCATTTGTTCACCCACCCACCTGTCTTATGCCGATCGAAAGAGATGTACAAATGCGGAAGGCTGCGCACCCATCCGATGATGGGCGCACCCGTTGGCATGATCGGCGGCAACGAAACCCGATGCCGAGGGCGAGCTCTGGCAGCACACATTGCGGGCTGGGATTCGCCCAGTCGTGTGATCAGCAGCACGTGTTCATGGTGGTGAGGGGCAAGCAGCTCTCTCGATTCATGCCCCTGGTCAATTTGCGATAGCGAATGTCATGAGCACAGTGCACGCTGCTCCCGATTGCCTCTTCTGGACGGCTCTTCCCCATAGCAGGCTTTTGGGTCATGATCTCATTCGGGGCCAGATCAGGTACCACAGCGCGGAATCGAAAGATGATGGAACTGGCACCTCCTTTCCTGCTAACCCATCTAGATGGACCTCCGGCTGCCATTGCAGGTGTCTGATGGCGCCACCAACACTTGTTAACGTTGCAGCTAGCAGCCAACGCAGATGCCATCATTTATCCAAGCCAAGACACGCGTACACACCTGCTCTGCTTGGCTGCCGCTGTGGGTGCGCAGTTGGACGAATGACCACAATACACTTTCCATCTGGCATGCAAACACGCAAAGAGGGGTTGAGGCTTGGTTCGAGACTGCGTTGTTTCCGCCTCTGTGGAGGGCGGGATTGGGTATTGATCACTGTGGCTGTGTTCCTGCATGGAATCGACAGACATACTCGCTCGGGCGCAGAGCTGTTCATCTTGTCTCACTGCAGCGAGATCTACGGCTAGCTGACGAGACTAGGATTGCTAGGCCAGTAACCAAGCTGGCTGACATGCGTCTTACGGCCAGGAGGAGCGATGGGAATCTGAAGTCCTCAGATGATGACGACAAGTAATGGCTGCCAAGTCACACTAGTTTTTTGCCGTCTGCCCTTCTCCAGACACCCATCATGGCTTAGAGGGCCGAGTACCTGGTACTTTGCGCCCAAAGCGTCAAACCCTTCGACTCGGTTGGTGGCACACGGAACCTCCCCCAACCCACATGCATGCTTAGTGCTTTACTTGCTACTAAGCGGCACAGAGCTCGAGGTTGGATTGCAAACTTTGACGAGACCAACTGCGACTCAGTCGCTGGCCGCTACTGGGTGCCGGAACTGCCGGAGAAGCAGCAGCAGCAAACCTAGGCAGTTGAGGGAGAAAGCCGGGACCTCAATCAACCCACGGCCCCTGGCCTACGATCGCCGGGACCCGGTTCTCAAACTCTGGCAAGCCTGTTTTTTGCCAGGCCTGGCAATCCGGAGCCGAAGTGGTGGCATGGAGTAACCCTGCCAGTGGTGCCACTGTCACTGCCATCATCTGCAGTTGTACTGGGTACACACCTCCAAGATTGCGCTATGCTATAGCCTATGGGCATGGACCGTACCGCGGGAGTAAGACAAAATTAATTGGCGCCCCAGCCAACGGGCAAGTCCCCCCCGAACGCTAATGTCCGACTTTTAGATTCATATGAAAGATTCCCCCCCCGAACTCCTGCCTTCCCGCCTCGTTGTGCTGCGTTTTCCTGCCTCCTCTCTTTTCCCATCTTCATCCCCCAAAGATTTAACTACTTAGCATCTCGGTACCCAACTCGTATCCTGCCCCTTGTGCCTTTCCAGTGAGGGACTAGCAGAATTATTTGCATTGACATACCCTGACCGGCCCCGTGCGTAAGATCGGGATTCATCACACGACCTCCAACCGCTCCGGATATCTCGGTCGCCCATTGTTGTTTTTCTTACCGACAAAATGCCTATTCGTAACCCTTTTACTCGTCGCCCGGGAGTGATTGTCGTCAATGATGAGAACCTCTCGCCCGTATCCCCGGGCTTTGAACGAGTTGACACTGTCGGATCCAAGGCCTCTTCCGCCCTTAGCATTCGAAGTGTCAGATCCCAGGACAATGGCGAGTATAAGATGAGTGGTACGTATTATACCAGACTATAGCCAATTCGGATACCGCCTCTCATAGGTCAATTCATCTGACATGCTGTTTTCTCTACCAGTTGTCAACGATAGCGGTGTCTATCTTCCGGTAAGGAGCGATTCCATGTGCACAACCCTGTATGTACGATGCTAACATGCGCAGCCATCACCCACTGAGGAACAGGGCCAGTGGCCTCGCAAATTCCTCTCTCGAACTTCGACCGATACTAGGAGCAGTTTCGGTGATATCGAGCACTTCTCAATTTCGCGTGAATCATTTGATTCTTACAGGCGCTCCTTTGTTCGTCACCCCCATTCACATTGGTGCGATTGTCGCAGTACAGGGATGCTCATACCTTAATTTTATAGGACATCTCTGCCCGCTCGCCCATTAATCCCAACGAGGCGCCGTCGCGAGGAAACAGTCTTGACTGTACCCGATATCCCCGTCTTCATCGATCGCTGGCGGACGGTAAGATGGAGCGTCCCCTCCCCACTGCCGAGGAGGCTTTCGAGGATGTCGGCCTCGAAGATCAGAAGCTCCAGCAGCAACACCAGCACGGCCAGCAATCACGCAAGCGCGGCTTCTTCTCTAAATTCTCCGAGGGCCAAGACAAGGATCTCACCGGCCAAAACTCCATGTCACGATTCCTGCCAAGTCGCAAGCGGGCCCAAAGCGGGCAAGGCGCTGAGCTGGGCAGCATCGACCAGGCCAAGCCCATGGTGACCGTCTCCGACCGCTCCCACTAAGTCTGGGATAATCTATGACGGCATCGGCCGCGACAAACAAAATGCGATGAAAGAAAGGCGATATTCACGACATCTGGCTTTGAAATACCTTGTAATAATTACGTCGCCTTTCGTTTCAGCTGGTTACGTCCTCTCGTTTTCGGCGTTTGGGAATGGTTTGGGTTAGACTTGCGTTCGTTACTACGTATTTTTGACTATCATGAGATAGAGATCAACCCAGGCCTTTTGGGGTTGGAGCATATACGGATATCAAGCACGTAACTGGTGCTTATAGTACATATACTAATGATAATGGAATATGAGCGAGTTACCCATCCTGGGAACTCGTAGAAACGGAGCTTTTGCACACTGCATCCCGTACTTGGAATGGTCTTAGCCAAACATGAATGTGAAACTACAGCAATGGGCTTTCCCGTGGCCTATGGGATGAATGTGTCAATTGCGCCCTATTCTACCGTTATTTTCCATCATGTGAGAACAACACCCGCACCGGTGCCGGAGACTAGCAAACGGTGATCAAATCAGAATGGCGTGCTGCCCCGCTTCGCTTTCGCCTGCCATGAGCGCCCAAGACCGAATCCCACCCGAGTTGCGTGCGTATTTTTATATAAGAGGTGGGGAGTAAGGACCCTTCTAACTCAAAGCTGAAGAAAAAGAAGAAAAAACTAGAAAAACTTCCAAGAGAAGGAGAACTTCGCCAAGACACAAGATACCTAGCTTCTGGGAAATCATCACAACGAAAGGGAGCGAGAGAAAAACCGCCACTGCCACACAGAGACCATGGCCGAGAAGACAACGGACGAGCTGGCGCTACGCGGGGCCGGGCCCGGGGCTGGCAAGACGCCCGGCGCAACAACGCTGACCTCGTTGTCGTCAAAGGTCGTCCATGCCGACGACCACATCTCCGCCCACCGCGCCGTTGCGCCGGCGATGCATGTGAGCACCACGTTCCGCTACGACGATGACCCGGATCAGCTCAAGATGTGGGTGAACACGGATGTAAGTGACTTGGCTTTCGACCTGAGCAGGAAGCCTGCCCGAATACTCGTATCAGGATATATATGAGCTATAGGAGTTGGACTGGGCTGACATGGACGACGCAAAACAGCCTGCGGCCCCCCTGGATTCACACATCTATTCCCGAGACACCAACCCCAGCGCCACCCGTGTCGAGGCCATCCTCGGCTCCATCCTCAACGGGCCGTCGCTGACCTACAGCTCCGGCCTGTCCGCCTTCCACGCCATGCTGGTCCACCTGAACCCGCGCCGCATCGCCATCGGCGACGGCTACCACGGCTGCCACGGCGTCATCAGGGTCCTCTCCCGCCTGACCGGCCTCCAGCAGCTCCCGCTCGACTGCGACCCCTCGGAGCTGGGGCCCGGCGACGTCGTCCACGTCGAGACGCCCCTCAACCCCACGGGCGAGGCGCGCAACCTCCAGCACTACGCCGACAAGGCGCACGCGGCCGGCGCCTACCTGACCGTCGACGCCACCTTCGCGCCCCCTCCCCTGCAGGACCCCTTCGCCTTCGGCGCCGACGTGGTGATGCACAGCGGGACCAAGTACTTTGGCGGCCACTCGGACATGCTGTGCGGGGTGCTGGCCGTCCGCCCCGGCAGGGAGGAGTGGATCAGGCAGCTCCGCGACGACCGCCTCGTCCTCGGCTCCGTCATGGGCAGCCTGGAGGGCTGGCTGGGGATGCGCTCCCTGCGGACGCTGGAGCTCCGCGTCACGCGCCAGAGCGCCACGGCCACGGCCCTCGTCTCCTGGCTGGCGGGCGAGAAGGAGGCGGGCGCGGCGTCCGTCGTGGGCTCGCAGATCGAGCTGATCCAGCACGCCAGCCTGCAGCCCGAGGCGGCGGACGAGGGCAGCTGGCTCAGGAAGCAGATGCCCAACGGCTGGGGCCCCGTCTTCGCCGTGTGGCTCAAGGACCCAGCCGCCGCAAGGAGGCTGCCCAGCAAGCTGCAGCTCTTCCACCACGCGACAAGCCTGGGCGGCGTGGAGAGTTTGATCGAGTGGCGGTCGATGACCGACCCGAACGTGGATCCGCGCTTGTTGAGAGTTAGCATCGGAGTTGAAGGACTGGAGGACCTAAAGCAGGATCTGCAGCAGGGTTTCGAGGCGCTACAAGCAGCCAAATAGAAATGAGAAGAGATCAAGAATACAGAGACAGAGACAGTTGAAAAAGAGCACAAATGTCTTGATAGAAAGAGAAAAGAAATAAGAGAAAGAAATAAGAGAGAAAAAACACAAAGAAACCTTGCGCATACATTTAAAATCACGATGCCAATGTTAAAGGCATCCATTCCCTTTTCCTACCAGCACAAATGGCCACTTTCTTCAGAGACGATAGCCCGCTCACAGCTTGCCCTTGACGCTGGGAGGGCAAGAGGCTGGAGCTTTGACCGGAGACTTCACCCCCCTTGAAGCTTCATCATCTAGTGATATGCTCAGGGCGGTGGTCACGGGGCTTCGATGGGGAGTGTTACTCGGAGAACGACAAATGAGAAGAACACCAATCAAGAAAGTTCAACGTACCGTTCTGGTTTGTTTGATGCGAAGGCTCCCACGCACAGCAGTTCGTCTGTGTCTGGAGACTCGACCAAACATCCTGTGGTCCAGCGTCTAACTACTGTGGCGGTTTCTATCGTCTGCGTTGGCGGTAGTGAGCGGAAAAGCTCATTGCGCTGTTGCTTTTTCTCAGCCAGGCTGCGATTCAACTCGGTTGGTGTCTCAAGATTGGCGAGCCACCGTTCGAGAAAGGTTTCTCTGGTGAAAGGTCCATCTTGAGCCGGTTCCAGCCACGACGAGTAGGGTAGTCGTGAGGGCTGCGACTCTGAGGGAGGACTGCCGGCCTGGGCAGCCTCGCGAGCGCGGGCTTGTTGAATACGCTCAAGGAGGGACATGTTTGCTGTATAGGTATTGGGCGAAGACCTGATTTGATTTGAAACTCAAGGTCCTTTCTGAGCCATGGTCCAGAAACCGAAAGGGAAACATGATGCGGGAGCCTGTGGGCTATTTATTTGCTCCAGGCTTTTGGAGTTGTGAGATCTTCCTTATACCAGGCTGGACGGATGTGTGGCTGCCAGCAAGGTCACAAAGGTGGCTGACCGTCATATCCGGCACACTCTGGCTGTGGCGCCACCAGACGCTGCCAATTATGTTACAGAAGGCTGACGTTTGGGAGCAAAAAGTGTGGCCGTGCAAGCAGCCCTGGTGGCCAGCTGTGGCATCGACCGGGATATTTCGTCCTAATTTCTGACTAGCATATCGCTGAAGTCCGTTACTGTTCATAGCTCCGGCTCTGATCTAGCAAATTAGACCGGAGAAAACAAGCATCGCTTAATGGATTCCGGGGTTTCTTGATCTTGCAGAATCCTGTTGCGATTGCCGGGTAACCAAACAACTACAACTGTTGGCTGGTTCATTCTCAGTATTGCTTCTGGGGTGTTCAGATGCCGGCCCAGTTGCGGGGTTATGAACTTCATGAGCGACGACACCAAGATATCATGTTGTCACTGGGTGCTGAAGATTTCGTACGAAAGAAGCTCGATACGATCGCAGGAACTTGGACCATCCTTTCGTTCGGTAGGGCCAGTGGGAGGGGAGATCCGAATCCCCTGCGGCATCGCGCTTAGCCATTCAACTGTTGTACGGGTGCGGCGGCGGCGACAATCGCGGGTAGATTTGGCGCCAAAATAGCCCATTCACAAGCCACCTTTCACCAGCCCCAATAGTGGATCTCAACCGGTCTGGCAATCACGCAGCGGGTGACTATTTCTGTATTATCTAGCCAATCACCTACGTGATAGTCCTTAATTAGCCTTTACCCCTGGATAGAGCCTGCTCCACATGGACGTTACAGTTCGAATGCCACGACTCCACACGTTGGAGTAACTGCTACCGGCAGGGGGACGAAAATACCTACGGCGGTTCTGGTCAATTGGTTCTCTCCGGTCAGGACTCTCTCCATCTCGCCTTCCATCAGAGTCGCAGCCCATCGAGTAGACCTTCCATATCAGGCAGGCTCTACATTTGCCACAACTCTACCCAGTTCCTATCTGCGCGGGCTTACTCAACGGAACATGAGCCTGCTTTAATCCCGTCACACGATCCTCGTCTCCCCACGAGATCCCACATGCCGATGGTTCAACACTGTCCCTGATGCCCCGACTTCACCTCTTCCGTTGGCCTGCGAAGATCAGGCGACGGGTCCGCCGCAATCGCATGGCTACCCAGCTGGTCCTGCTGCTGCTCATCTTCCTGGTCCTGTTCCCCTTCTACGCCATCTGGTGCATCTACAAGCCTCCGCCGTACCTCATCAGCTACCTCCGCCACAAGTTCCCCGACGTCCTCTTCGAGGTCTCCACCTCCCAGAAGATCATCGCGCTCTCCATTGACGATGCCCCGTCCTCCGATTCCGATGACATTCTGCAAGTCCTCCGCGAGAACGATGCCCACGCCACCTTCTTCGTCATCGGCGTCCAGGCCGACGGCCGCCACGACATCCTGCGCAAGATGATCCGCAACGGCCACGAGCTCGCCAACCACGCCATGCGCGACGAGCCCTCCAAGTCGCTCACCAACGCCGACCTCGAGAAGCAGGCCAACGAGGTCAAGGACAAGCTGACCGAGGTCTACACCGCCGAGGACATGATCCTGCCAAACAACTACTTCCGCCCCGGATCCGGCTTCTTCAACCGCCGCATGCGCGACCTCCTCGGGAACAGAGGGTTCCGCATCGTCCTCGGCAGCATCTACCCCCACGACCCCCAACTCCCCTATCCCAATCTCAATGCTCGCCATATCCTGAGCATGGCACACCCTGGCGCCATCATCATCTGCCACGACCGGAGAGAGTGGACAGCCCCGATGCTCCGCATAGTCCTGCCGGAGTTAAAACGCCAGGGATACGAGATCGTCACAATCACCGATCTTGTTAAATCGATAGAGCCTCTAGGCGGGCGATGATAAGATTATGACCACTTTCTTCACGCTTCATCCATGAAATACGGGGGGGGTTCCCTTGTTTTCTTTTCTTTACACACTGTTTTAATCTATTATTTTATCGATTCATGGGACCGGTTGGATAAGCTTAAACCTGCCAGACACAGGTTATGTACACATAGGAGAGGCTCGGTTTATATCGCCCCGAGGGATCATGATTATATCCCTCTGCAACCACTTGTGTGCTAAGAATATTTAGAATAGCAAAATACCTCCATCGACTAATACTAGAGATAAATGAATCCACCCTATCTTGATGTTGAATGGCTCTGGTCGAACCAAATTGCGCGTTGACGAGGTGCACCACTTGCCCCGTTCCTTCTACCCCAACATCTGTAGGTATCTACCCAGCCAGCGGTTGCCAAGCGCAAGCCCAGATATCTTTCGCCTATCTGAACGCTTTCCTTACCGAAGTACTTTCCATGACGCGATAGCTCAGGGTGCATGGATATGTACAGCCTTGTGGTGAATCTTATCTCCTACATGAGTGAGATTCGTGGTACTTACAAATAACAAGGTGATTGGCACTTCGTTTTCCTAAATACTCCAGAATCCCAAATTTTGGAAAGACGCATCATCTACATGTCACATTTGAGAAAGCGATGATGATTGTAATAGCGAATAAGGACATATCTGATTCGTGGACGACTATTTGAAAGCATTCGCATCATAAAATAACCCACCATCCGATAAATGATCCTGTATTGAACAAAACGCCTCTCATCTTAATGAGTGCGACGTTGTTCTGGTATTTCCCCCGAAGAAGAAAAAGATAAAAAGGAAAAGTGAAAGTTTGACTATAGCTAAGTGCCGATCAAATATTAATGAAAGAACAATCGTGATTGATGATATATATGCAGTGTGGTGAGCTGCTCGGGTGTGTGAGCGGAACCAGTCTCTCGCTCGTTGTATATACGTAAACTCCAGTATTCAAGATGGCGCCGGTGAGGGCGAAATAAGACGTGACTCGTTTTTTGGCTCATATCCATGTAGTGGTCATTGGGGTTGGGGGTGCAGGTTCTGGGAAGAAAGTGGCTATGAGACTGTGAATCTCGTTCAGATAGTCGTCAGCCGTCATCCTTGCCAGGCCTCGGCTCATGAGGTACTGATCATCCTCGTAGACGATATCCATTCTACAATGAGCGCCAAATTCCTCTGCCAACTCGGAAACCTGGGCCAGTTCACTCCCAAAAGGGCTAGGCACAGACTTTTGGGAAGAGTGCTGAATTGGTTGTTCTGGCCGATACTCCTTATGCTTCCGCATTGAATCCGACCGAGTTGGGATGACGTGCGTAGACGAATCAGACGGGACTACCTTGTGTTTCCTAATTGAGTCGGACCGGGCTGGAGGATGCTGAATGGGAAGATCGAACGCAGGGGCCGAAGAGGGCATAGGCGGGGGTGCGTAAAGCTTCGTCTGATGCGTGCTAGAACCGTAGGATGTGGTTGATGCTCGCGTGGAGATAGACGACGGCCGTGAGAAACTCACGCTTCCTTTGGTAGAGAAGGACTGTTCGGATTCCTTGGACGTGCGTCGGACTGAATGCTTACGGGCGACAGCCTCATATGAGCTCTGCTTGGTGTGTGAAGGTGACCGCTTGGGAATAGCCGGTGGCAGCTCGCTGGATGTTATCGTATGGCTCGATGGGGCAACAAAGTACGAAGATAGATGGTTCGGCTTTGGGCTGTAAGAGTCCTTGTCGGTATCAGGGCTGGTTGGTGGCGTGCTCATGGGCGTACTCATTGTCGTCGCCGAATCGTAGTCATCTTCACTTCTGGATGAAACAGAGTCACTTGCTGATGGTCGTCGGGGAATATCCGGGGCATTATACGAGAGCATATTGGTTGTATGAACGAGCTGGACGGGGCCTGAGATTTGGCTGCGAAGTACCGAATGTGAAGACGCTTTGTGGAGGGTATTGCTGCGCTTCACGCTTTCAACTGGGTCGTTAGAGTTCTTCGCCCTACGGGTGGTGAACGCTCTTGCGAGAGACATCTTGGAGGCTTGGGGATTGGTCTGTGTCGAGAAAACTGAGAAACGATATCAGGCCAAGGGCAAGATAAAGGAAGGCTTCTTAGATAAATAATCGCATGCACGAGAACCTCCGATTTCCCGATTTGGAGTATGTCCCTGTGACTTTGGGGTAGCCTGAACCAAATCAGGTGGTCGTTGTTGTGTGTGGGTGCAATGAATCTCAAGACAAAAGGTTAATGTGAGTCCTCAAGATCCACAAGCGCCCAAGTTGGGACACGTTACAGAGGCACGAGAAAGGTTGTCGTTAATGGGCTAGTTGACGTAGCAGTGAGGGCGAGTGCAGGTGTAGTGTGACTCGATAACAACGTGCTTGGATGTTACATCCAAGATGAAGTCGGAAGGTAGCTACCGAGTTATCTGGAGCTCGCTGCGGGGACGTCGGTGGAAGCGCCAGAAAGCGGGCAAAAAAAGTGCGAGAGACGGAACACACACACACGCAGCGGTGTATGTTGGGTCAGAAAGAAAAGAATGAATAATAGAAAATGAGAGAGAAGCAGTAAGTGCAACGAATGGCTACCAGTTGAAGCCGTTGAAGAAAAACGGCCGAAACGGCTGGCTGACTGAAAACGGACGAGGCCGTCAAGCAGAACACACACTGACGAGGAAAAAGGTCGTGTATGGCTCCTTCGACTGATTGACAGTCGAGGCAAACTGAATCCTGTGACAAAGGAGTAGTTTGGCTTCTTGACCTGGAACCTGTTCCAGCTGAGAACTCAAAGCACAAGGCGATGCTGTGCTTGGCGTTGGCAATAGTTCACAGACTGGTGGTGGTGAGTCCAGTCCCGTCGACGTGATGTCGAAGAGAGTAAGTCAGGCGCCGACTGATTTAGTGCGAAGAGGCTTGTCTTTACTGTTTGCGGGACGGCAAATGGAGTGGCCCGTGAACAAATCCGTCGCACAACGGTGAGGGTTGAGTGACGGCAGAGAAGGTTTGCCACACTTCAGAGCACTTAAACGGCAGTCAAGCCGGGTTCCTGGGAGTACAAGCTGCGCGGAATCTGATACACAGATTGTTTGGCGGTGGGCTAGAAGGCAAATCGCTTGCGATCTAAATGGCAGTTTCGAGGAGGGTCCTCAGGAATGCTTCGATTCGTTTTTTTGGTAGAACAAGAGCCGTGTCCGGACGGTTGGGTTAGCTGCGAGACAGGTGCAGACGATCTCTGATCGAGCCCTGCGACAATCAAATGAACGGGACGAAGCGCAACGGTGTTTGGCACACAATCCGTTCAAGGAGAGAGAGACGAACGTGAACCAGCGCTCTGGGTGATGAAGAAGAAAGCAAAAATTGCTTGAGCTCGACAGCCTTCCTGAGGGAGCGTGAAGATCGGACGGGGGAGAAAAGGGTAGCGAGGAGACGGCCGGGGCTTGCACCTGCCTTGGGGCGAGATGCCGGGCAATGATATGGTGCGATTAACGCCAGGCACAGCACAGTCCCTCCCCCCAGAAACATTAAAAGCCTGCAGGACCCGGCCAGGGCCCCCTGCACACCATCCTCAACCCCTGACTAGTGCTAGCATGCCGCACCTGCCTCCCCCATTGGCTGATTGTGGCTATTTCCAGTTTTCCCTTGCTTTGCCTTTGCTTTTGCTCCCGCGCCGTCACCAGTCTTGCGACTCCACACGACTAGCGCTGTTGGGCAGGCCTCAAAACGTTTCTCTAGGCGGCGGCATGATCAGCCATTCGCTGATCTGCATGGAAACCCTGCCGTGGAACCTGCATGACTCTGAAGAGGGCTGGCCCCTTTCACGAAAAGAACAGCATCTCACGAGCGTGCCGAACGCGCTGAGATCACCAGACAGCACCCGCCTGCCTCCTTCAACCAGGGAGCATAAGAGACCTGCTGCGAAGATTCTAGTGCGCTGAAGTCGCGTGGCAGGGGGGCCGTATCAGCGCACAGGGCCTGTCCATCCTTACCTGCCTACTACGAATCATGTATATTACGCTGCCAGGCGCCTAGACCCGATAGACGCTGTAGGGGCATTTTAAGTGCCTTGAGTGCGACCCTCGGCCACCAACTGCTGGACCCGGCACCGGCCATGTTCGCTACATTACCACCACCACCCTCACCGTCCAATGGGCGCATGAGCCCCTCCTGCAGGAGCAGAATCACGTTGCTCCTTTGTCGCATCACCCACTGTATGCACAAATAGGAATGGCAGCCAGTCCAATTTTGTCTTCTTTGTCAGGCCTTGCTTCCCCGATGAATGCCCGTCATTGTCGTCTAATCATCAATACCATCTCAATACCGCCATCGCCCTTTGTGAAAGCCCACTCCCTCCCCCAACAAGTCACCACTAAAGGCAACCAACCGCCTAGCGCCAGGTACTTTTTCGCGGTGGGAATGGTGGCGCGTTACTCCCACCCTAAGAAAGGAAAAGAAGAAAAAGAAACAATACATGACTCTCAGCATGACGCTTGAACACCAAATCTCGGCCGCTTCATGTCGCACGGGAGTCGATGGTCCGTGTGCTGAGCTGTTCAGATGAGCCATCCCAGCAGACGCCTGCCACGTCTCCGTGGAGCTGGCCTATGACGAAACGCCAGGAAAAAAAGAAAAACGCCTGCTGTCACTGCATTGCCAACAGAGACGTGCGCCAATCTATTGGGTTAGTTGGGCTCACAGCGGCGACTCTCCCACTGCCGAGCCCATTTGCGCGTATCCACCGCACCACTCGGAATTACCTCGATGCCAGGTTCCCTGTGTCTGGGTAGGGGGAGCGCTTTGGGCCTCTTCCACGACGGGCAGCTCGCGCTCCGTTCTGCTATTGGCCATCCCCGTCGACTTCTGAAGGCCGTTCTGTTTCAGGCGTCTGATGATGGCACCGCCCGTCTGTCGCGGTGCCTGCGCTAGTCACCCAATAATGCCTGCCGCCCCTGGCACAGGAGGTGCAGGACCTGGCTGTCATGCCCTCCGCCCTGGTTCCCCGACTAGACGAGGTAGCACTTGATTGGGCCTACGTTTCAAGTCTTGCTATCATTGGAATTAAGCCTGCGTGAAGGTTGCCGGCGCGCATCTCGGTCGTTTCGAGTTTCGCTAGCGAGCGACAGGCTAGATAAGTCAAAATAGTACATGCTTCTCTTTTTTCTCGTAGACGTCCTGGGCTTGTACGCGCCTGCTGGGCGGCAAGTTCGTGAGCAGACAGAGATCGCGCGCTTTACGATCGCCTAAACTCCTCGACCGTGCCTCCCGCAAAGTAAAAGAACCATGGTGATCCCGCAATCGACATCCTTGCTGACATCCATCCGGGATCTAGCCCCAAAGTGAAACGCATATTCACGGAGAATGAGAAATGATGAACAAGCTAAAGTCCGAGGAATATGCAATATGTACTTTTTCCCCATTGAGAGCAAGGAAATCCTTGTCATCTTCACTCCAATCGCTCAGTTCTATGTATTCTAATTGGGTTAACGGTGTTATTTGGCTTGATTTTTTTTCTTGACAGACTGTTTAATCTTCGTCCATTGAATGTCCATCCACCTCTTCATTATCATCACTATCCCCGTCATCGTCACCTCCCTCCTCGCTGTCGCTGCTGCTTTCATCCGCATCCACCCCGATCAATCGATCCTCCACATCCTTGTCGCTCTTCTTCTCTGGCACCTTGTTTGCGAACGCCTGTCTGACTGCCGCATTGGTGCTGGTGTCCCATACATGCATGCTTCCGTGACTTCCTGCCACGGCGAGTCTGAACGCCACCTCAGGGTCGGGCGCAAAGGTGGTAGCAAAAACCTTGCCCACGTCCAGATTGCGTGAAACAACCATAGAAGGACCGCTGGCCTGGATATTCCATAGCTTGACGGTTCGATCCGAAGATCCAGTTGCAATGAAACCAGGTACGGATGGGTTGATATCGAACGAGGAGATTGATTCATCGTGGGCCTGGAGTGACCAGATCGATTTCGTAGCTTCTGGGGTAGCAGGGGCGTTGCGCACATCGTGGTAATGGATCATGCCGTTCTCCGTTGAGACGTAGAAGTAGTTCTGGTCATGAGGATCCCAACGTACATTCTCAACGTCACTTTCAACTCCCCATCGAGGGGCCTTGGCATCCGGGGCTCTCATATCTGCGGCAATGACCGTACGGTCATAACTACCGCTGAGGAGGACTGTCGGTTCCGAGGTGTGCCAAGCCAGAGAGCAGACCTTGTCCGTGTGGTAGGAGTAGGATTTGGCGCATGTGGCCGTGTTAAGATCCCACAGTTTCACCGTCTTGTCGGCCGAGGCAGAGGCAAGAAGGTTTCGATGCTGCCTGTTGGCGGCAAGCGATAGAACAGCATCGACGTGGTACTCATCGTTGGCCCGGTTGGCCTTCTTCTTCTTCTTCTTGGGCTTCTCGCCTGCGTTCTTCTTCTGGCCCAGAATGGCATTGGGATACATGCAATCGATTGTGTCCAGATCCCAGATCTCAATGTCGGGGTCCATCGTGCCAATGGCGACAAAGTTTCCTCGTGAGTCCTTGTCCGTGCCGGGCTTGTTGACGGGCAGGTCCAACCATTCTACAGCCAACGGGATTGCGGGCAGCATAATGTCATGGTGCACGTAGAGATTGTCTTGCGCATCCTCATAGACGTAGACCTCGAGATGTGCCAGCTCGTCCTCAACTTTAGCAGCCAGAAGAAGGTTATCCGTAGCGAGAATCTGGAGGTCGTCGCCTTCTTCATCCTCGTCCTCCTCGCCCTTCAGGGTGATATAGGGGTCGTCCTGATTTGACTCGTAGTAGGCCAGATTCTTGACGTTTCCAAAGATAGATAGAGGCTCGCCTTTTCCAACGGGGCCGTCATCTTCATCATCGTAGTTATCAAGGTTATATTCCTTGAGGTCGTCGTCGTTCAGGCTACACCAAATTCACAGTTAGCATCCGTTGAGTTTGCGATTTCTCGACTACAGTTGCAGCACTCACTCGATTTTCTCGGATGGCTTGCCATCATCGACCTGCATTCCGTCTTCTTCGTCTTTCTCATCCCCCTTCTCAGCACCTTTTTCTTGCGCCTCCTTCAGGTCCTCCTCGGCGTCATCAAGCTGCAGCTTCGCAAGCTCTGCGATTCTCTCGAACTCGGCTTCATCGAACTTGTATTTTTCAGGGAAAGGCGCTGCGAATCCACGAGGAACCCATTGGGCCGCAGTGATCATAGAAGTCATGGCTATCCAAATATGGCCTGCAGCTATAGCAGGGTTATTGGGAAATACCACCGTAACTTGGGCACTGTTTTTTTTTTTTTTACTTCATCACCACATTATTTACTATGGCGGTATGCGCCCAAATTTTTTGGAAGTGGGGTTTATCGATAACTTATCGTCTTATCGGTCGCAAGGTGCCGGCAAAACCTCGTCCCAGTTTATTTGTTTATAGGACATGGGTTGACAGCTGGTATCCCCTTTGCCTCTCAGGAATAAGAATCACTTGCTAGGGGACTGACAATCGGCCAGAAAATGGGGGAAGACAGAGAATATCAAGGATATAATCCGAAGCGGAGGCGAGTTGACTCCTCGCGACCGCAGCCCAAGTTCCAGAATGGCTGGCGAGCTTCGACACCCCGTGGTCAGTCGCAATATCCTGGGACACCACCACCTCGAGACCAGGATGGCCTAGGACCGACCGATGAGGACGCGAAAGCCTTGGATCGCGACTGGTACGGCGCAGATGAGTTTGGCGGCCATGTGTTTGGCGACGATACACATAACCCCTTTGCATCCTATGAAATGTCAGCATGGGAGAATCAACAAGTCGAGTCGGCAAAGGCGGAGAAGATGGCCAGCCGTTATGACGCGCGAAGACAAGAATGGCAAAGGGAAAATGACGCTTGGGAAACCAACCGAATGCTTGTTTCGGGTGTGGCCCAGCGTAGGGATATGGCCAGTGATTTCGACGATCAGGAGGCTACCCGTGTCCATCTACTCACTCACGACCTGCGACCACCCTTCCTTGATGGACGGACAATCTTCACCAAGCAGGTCGAACCGATTCCGGCCGTCAGGGATTACCAGAGCGATATGGCCATCTTCAGCAGGAAGGGAAGCAAGGTCGTCAAAGAAGCACGTCAACAACGTGAGAGGCAGAGACAGGCCCAGGAGGCTACGAGTATGGCTGGTACCGTGCTTGGCAATATCTTGGGGGCCAGGGAGCAAGATGGAGACAGCGCTCTCCCCATCGCTGGCGAGGAAGATACGGTCAAGGAAGATCGAAAGGCCAACAAGTTTAGTGAACACATGAAGAAAGGGGAGGGTGCGAGCAATTTCAGCCAGAGCAAGACGCTACGAGAACAGCGTGAATACCTTCCCGCATTTGCTGTTCGCGAGGATTTGTTGCGTGTTATCCGGGAAAACCAAGTCACCATCGTTATTGGCGAGACGGGTTCTGGCAAGACAACCCAGCTGACGCAGTTTTTGATGGAGGATGGGTATGGAAAGACTGGCATGATTGGCTGTACGCAACCTCGTCGAGTGGCAGCAATGAGTGTCGCCAAGCGTGTCGCAGAAGAGATGGAGGTTCCCCTGGGGAGCACAGTAGGCTATGCAATCCGATTCGAAGATTGTACTAGCAAGGAGACGGTGGTCAAGTACATGACAGACGGTGTGCTGCTGAGAGAATCCCTCAATGAACCTGACTTGGACAAGTATTCATGTATCATCATGGACGAGGCTCACGAACGTGCGCTGAACACCGATATCCTGATGGGGTTGTTCAAGAAAATCCTCCAGCGGAGACGCGATATCAAACTCATAGTAACATCCGCAACTATGAATGCGAAGCGCTTCTCCGAATTCTTTGGAGGGGCACCGGAATTCACTATCCCAGGTCGAACATTTCCTGTCGATGTCATGTTCCATCGCTCGCCTGTGGAAGATTACGTCGACCAAGCCGTTCAGCAAGTTCTTGCTATCCACGTGTCTATGGATCAAGGCGATATCCTCGTTTTCATGACTGGCCAGGAAGATATTGAAATCACTTGTGAGCTCGTACAGAAGAGGCTCGATGCGCTCAATGACCCACCAAAATTGAGCATTTTGCCCATCTACAGTCAAATGCCAGCAGATTTGCAGGCCAAGATTTTCGACAGAGCTGCCCCGGGAGTTCGCAAGTGCATCGTCGCCACAAATATTGCTGAGACAAGTTTAACAGTCGATGGAATCAAGTATGTCGTTGATGCTGGATATTCTAAAATGAAGGTCTACAACCCCAAAATGGGCATGGACACTCTTCAGATTACCCCCATTTCGCAAGCCAACGCATCGCAGCGATCTGGTCGAGCAGGAAGAACTGGGCCCGGTAAGGCCTTCAGACTTTTTACCGAGAAGGCCTTCAAGGACGAGTTGTATCTGCAAACGATTCCCGAAATCCAGCGAACCAACCTCGCCAACACCGTTCTCATGCTTAAATCTCTAGGCGTGAAGGATCTCCTGGACTTTGATTTCATGGATCCTCCCCCCCAAGACACTATCCTAACTTCCATGTTTGACCTCTGGGCTCTCGGAGCGCTTGACAATCTGGGGGGGCTAACAGATCTGGGGCACAAAATGAGTGCTTTCCCAATGGACCCTTCACTTTCAAAGCTTCTGATCACCGCGGAAGAGTACGGGTGCAGCGAGGAGATGATCACCATTGTCTCCATGCTGTCTGTTCCCAATGTGTTCTACAGACCCAAGGAAAGACAGGAGGAGGCAGATGCCCAGAGGGAAAAGTTCTGGGTCCACGAGTCAGACCACTTAACATATCTCCAAGTTTACTCGGCTTGGAAGTCCAACGGGTACTCCGATGGCTGGTGTGTCCGACACTTCCTTCATTCAAAGTCCCTCAGAAAAGCGAAAGAGGTCAGGGAGCAGCTCATGGACATCGTGAAAATGCAAAAAATGCAGCTAATCAGCTGTGGCATGGACTGGGATCTGATCCGAAAGTGCATCTGTTCCGGATACTACCACCAGGCAGCCAAGTACAAAGGATCTGGAGAGTACATCAACCTGCGCACCAACCTCGCAGTTCAGCTCCATCCAACCAGTGCCTTGTACGCTGGTCACCCTCCTGATTACATTGTCTATCACGAGCTCATCCTCACCTCCAAGGTGTACGTCTCAACCGTCACAGCGGTTGATCCGCACTGGCTCGCAGACCTAGGAGGAGTATTCTACTCGATCAAAGAAAAGGGCTTCTCATCCCGAGACAAACGTATCACGGAGACCGAGTTCAACCGGAAAATGGAGATCGAAGCCAAGATGGAGGAAGACAGACAACGAGAGGAAGATCGGAAACAAGCCGAAGTTGAGAAAACGACCAAGAAGAAGGCGACAACAAATGGCAAGAAATTCGTCACACAGGGCGCCGTGAAGAAGCCTGTTATCAAGCGACGGGGCCGAGGATTCTGAGAAAGGTCGGTCTATTACTATGATATGGGGACTCAAATAGCTAGGTGGTCGCCTTGTCAGGGGCTTCGCTCTACATCCAGGAGCCTGATAGGTGCGCCACCTTGTGGGTTCCTGTTGAGTCCTAAACTAACGGCGAACTTCAAAAGCCGACTCATCTTCAACAAGATCACGACCCTCCTTGTCCAACTTGACGACATGTGCATGCCTCGGGCCCTTATCTACGGCCTGGAGGAACTGCTTCATGGCATCGATGGAACCCTGCGCTTCGCCCTCAACCTTTGGCAGAGTATCAGCCGCCTGCCTGCTTCGCGTAACTTCCAGGGCCTTACCTTGTTGTCGTCCGTGTTTCGGCACCATCCCGTTATACCATATTCCCGGGCTCGCTTCTGGGTGAAATATCTGAACAGAAGAGAGAGGTTAGAAGTGACGCCGAAATGGCCACCTCCGTCTTCAATGCGGATATATGGAAGCAACCAAACTCCTCAGACATACCGGAAGCCCACGCCTAGCAGAGACAAGATCAGCGGCAACACATATTTATCAGCATCAACCCCCCAACCAAAGGCCGGGGGGATTTCACTCGTAGATACCCTACATACCTTGGACGATCCCACCATGTGCGACAAAGCGAATCTTTGAAAGGAGTTTTTATGTTAGGAAATAAAATCACTCGATAGACATATTTTAATATGGTGTATATGATAATCTTACTCGCTCCGACATGCTGATATATGCGCTGGTAGTTTTCAATGACGTTGAGTGACTTCGATGAGCACGCCAGTGATGTAATAACGATAGCTTTTTAATTAGCCCAACGATGAAATAGAACCGAGGTATTATGTAACTCGAGAGTAGTTTTAGGCAAGGAACTTAGGTCAGGGGTAATGTTTCAAAATAATGATAAGGGAACGAATCTGCATTGAAGAATATCTGATGTACTTGCTATCTCCAAATGCACGATGATGGGACAATACACCACAACGTGCTAGATTAGTCATCACGGCCTCCAACAACATCTCGAGTCTCTGCCGCTGCATTTCTCGCAGGCGCATAAGGTTTTATTCCTGACACGTCACATTTTCCAAACGCCCCCCCATTTTCGTCCTCGGAACCTCTTGTCGTCATCATGGCCAGCGAAGCGACAGACTCACAACCCCTCGACACGATCCGGTTCCGCCCAAGCAAGAAGCGCAAGGTCTACAGATCGCGAGCCGACGACGAGAACGACGACAGCGACCAGCGCGCCCAGATCCCCAGCGCGAACACCAACGAGCCTCGCGCTGTCGCATCAGACTTCTTCGGCCGGGACGAGTCCGAAGAGACCACACCGCACCCCCCCAGCAGCGTCGCAGCAGCTCTCCGCCACCGGTCCGCTCGTCGCGGCCGCCTACAAGGCGTCGGCTTCAGCACCCGCTCCCATGCGACCGAACCCGCCTCGGACGAGCGAGCCCTCGTCCCTAGGCACGGCGACGACGATGACGCCGGCGCACAAGCCGGCATGGCCAACCGCTTCACACAGCAGACCGGGATCGTCTCCGACATCGACGACAAGCACATGTACGTCCCGCCCTCCCACCTTGGCTCCTCCCCGCGCCGTCGCCAGATCCCAAGCAACACCCCCCCACCGCGATCCGGGAAGGAACTCCAAACCAGCGCCCTCATCAATACTAATCATTCAGGAATCAATACATAGAATCCCGCCTATCTAGTCGAGCCGCCTTGCGCGCACCCCCAGCCCCCAATCCCCCCCAAGACGGAGACGAGACCGCCGACCCATCGCGCTCCGCACAACAGGCCCCCGGCCAGCCAGTCATGCAAGGCAAGCTGATGGAGGTCGACCTCGCCAGCCACCCCATCCCCACCGCGGGAGACGACAGATCCGGTCGCGAGACGAAGCGGCAGCGCCTCGGCCGCGACGGCAAACCCTGGCGCCCGCGCAAGCGCCGCGGAAGCGACGACATCAAGCGCGACAAGCTGGTTGAGGAGTTCCTCAGTGAGAACAGACGTGAGTGTCCTTCCGCTCTCACTACGCACACATTGATTTGTGTACTGACATGGTCCCTTTTTCTGCTTCTAGTTGGTGTTTACGATGTTCCCGAAGCATCAGCTCCGAGCCCTGCAGCCGACGGCGAGGCAGACGAGCGCCTCGCAGAAGAGTTCCGCCGGCAATTCTTGGACGACGTGGCTCGGAGACGGCAGCAACAGCAACAGAGGAAGAAGAAGCCTACCCAAGCAGCGAAGCCAGGCTCGGAGGATGTTCTCAGGGGACCTAAACTTGGAGGAAGCCGAAATCAAAGAGCAGCAGTTCGGGATATTTTACTCAAAAAGGAAAAGGAGGCCAAAAAATAGGCATCTCCTGTCTTATGAATACACTTGTGTTGACTTACCATGCGTATCTTGCTTCATTGGTTCATGGACTGCAACGAATGTTTCATTCTTTCAATATTCATGATGAGAGTCCTGTTTATCTCGAATCTACACATGCTGTATAGCGGTAATGATTGATATACCGTGTGGTATAAAACTGGCACAAAAAGAATGAAGTCTTTTCGTCTAGGTGCCGCAAATTCAGCCTGCCACCGGAACCCAAAAACGTACTGTCCAAAAGGGAGGGATATCCAAAAGGGAGAGCATAAGAGATACCACCGTACCAAGATATCAAACGCCATCCATGTTGACCCATAAAGAAATTTGGTGTAAAAAGGAAAGTAGGAAAGCTCATCGGTCTTTCCCTCAGCATAGCAATTCACGAAACGCCTATAAGTTAAATCAAGGAGGAAAATCAGATATAGTAAGCCAAGCAAGCAGGAAAAGTTTGGGGAAGAAACGAGGAATGTAGAGAAAGCAAAGTCGTGATAAGTGATGGCCGCACTGGAGGCACCAGGCGCCTGAACACCCCGAGAACGAATGATTGTGAGTCTTCTCAAAACTCTCATCTAATGTCGAGCTGGAAAGGCTTGAACCGGCCGCCGATGGTAGCACAGCGTGGGCACTTCCTCCGCGCTCCGTGTTCCGACATGAGGACTTCAACGCAGGTGGGGCAGAGCCCGCATATACATTCCGTACATGCATATGAGTTTCGGAGTCTAGATACCCCCTGACAGGCGGCACAATAAATCTGGATGTTCTGGGAAGAGTAGGTTGGGGAAGAGTCGGACAGGCCACGCGAGTCCATGTGGAATGTATCCCCACTCTCCCCACTCTCCACAGAAGGGAACGGGTCAATTGAGTCTTGATTGTTGGACGGGGGTGTCAAGGCTTGCTGCAGTGGGGAGGCTTGGTAGTTTCCCGTATGCAATTGCGGATGAGTGAAGGGTGGCAAAGACGACCGATGAATGGAAATTGGTGAATGAGGACCCTGAAACTTATCGTCAGCGCCAAAGAATATGATGCCATCGGCCGGAGGGAGGAATACCGGTGTGCGGTCCTCATCAATATCACCAGCCATGGAAGCAGCTTGATCAGCAGCATCAATGAGATCTTCCCATCGCTTGCCATAATCCGCTGATGGCTCGGCAGAGAGTGCCTTCCTATCGTTGCCCGGTCTCCGCTCTTCGTTCTGGATTCGGCGCAACCAATCTGCTGCCGATCCTCGTGATTCTTTCTTGCCGTGGCCAGGCCGATGTTTCTTGGATACGCCTGATTTTTTCAGTCGGTGGGGGCCAGACGGACGTTGTAATGGAGGCAGTGTTGATGAACGGCCAGGTGGAGAGTTGGCAAGCAAAGACGGAAGAATATCGCGTGGTCGTTTAGACGGGTCGCTTGTGATATAATTTGGAGGTAGGTTCAAAGGAGGCAATTCTATGGAGCTGCGAGGATAGCGCCGGGCGTCATGGTCATACAGGTGGTCCTGAGCGAATGGTTCATGTTAGCATATTGAACGGAAGGATTCAGGAAAGAAAATGAATCTTACCACGTCGTTTAAATCTCTTTCTGATTTGACTCCATGGAGCTCTGCCAACGCTGCAGCTGCATTCTGTGCGCCGAGTAGAGGGTTGCCAATTGAATCATCTAAATGGCGTGGTGTTGGAGGGTTGCTCAGATCGTCGGGGTGGAGCGACAGGCGGTCATGAAAGCCTGGATGGCTGGTCAGTCGACAGGTCAGCTTACGGCAGGGAAGAGCACAAACTTTTTGAGGCTGATAATGGGCTCTCTGGTAGTCGGCGATCCGAGGGGGGTGTACTGGTCATGAGAAGAAAGCTCTCTTCCGTAGCTGGGAGCTTGGAGATGTAGTGCGCAGCATGAGTACGGCGGATGTGTTCCTGCATGGAACGATAGCGTTTTTCCTGAGTCGGGAAAAAAGTTAGATAGTTCAATTCGAAGCCTAATTATAATCCGATTCTTTCTAGAAATGATCGCAAAAGAAGCAGAATGCAATTGGTAGAAGCCAGTTCATTGAAAGAAAGGCATGATGGCAATGAAGAGGGCCGGATTGCGCAAGGCGGATTTGCGCTCGCGCCTTGGATGCATTGAAGTAGCGGGAAAAGGACTTACGCCAACACATCTTTTCCTACAGCTGGAGCCATCCTGGTTTCGCAATGGACAGACAACCTCATTATTGGAGTCTGTAATGGAAAAGGACGACGTCAAAGACGACCGAGGCGGCATCTTGACCCCACCAGCGCTATCGCGAGCGAGCGAGCGGGGATGGGGTGGGCGATTGAGGGCAGTTGGTGCTGCGATAAGGCGATAGATAGTGGGTGGTGGTGGTTCAGTTAATGATGCGAGGCAGCGCTCTGGCGTGGCGACTGCGCATTGCACAGAGCAAGACGACGCCGAAACCAGACGGTGAGGCTAGGGGGGAAAGGAGGCAGATAAGTTGATGTTGTCGGAAGAAGATGACGCACGAAACAAGCGCATTGACTCGAGAGTTTGAAGTGGTGGTGGCGGAAGTGTGTTGCAAGACGAACGACGGGACGCAGGACGCAGGCTCTCGACTAGGTAGGTAAGTAAGTAAGGTAAGCAGTACCGGCCGGGAGCACAGAGCTACCTCAGAACAGAAGGTAGCCGAGACTGTAGGTACTAGCGAAGGAGGTAAGTAGGCAGAGGTAGAGGTGGTAGCAAAGGAAGCCTGCTCTCCGCTTGTTGCGTGATGAAGAAAATCGCTTGCGGGCGGGTGGCAGGTAGGTCTTGTTATGTGGTGACTAGTTTTGCGGCAGGTATGGAGATGAGTAACCCGACAGGCGAAAACTACTTGGCCTGGGGGGAGGAGACGAGACGGAGGTAGCAGCAGCAGCAAGAGGTAGGAAAGGTACGGATGGATGGCAGCAGGTGGTAGCAGAGATAATGATGATTTATGGTAAGCTTGCGGCGGCAAGGTGGGCCGGACCAAGTCATGGGAAGAAGGTTTGTGTAGGTCGAGCAGATCTTGCCCCGAGCTCAAGCACGAGGAGCTGTCCCAATAGCCGATGATCGAGGCCGGCAAGATCTAGCGGAGAGAGTTTCCGGCATGTGCTCTGCTCGGGTCCAGCGAGTGGCGAACCTACGCCAGGCGGGAGCTGTTCCAGACGAGAGGGCTCGAAGTCATGGGCGGCAATGGCTAATTCGGCGGCAGCATGCATACAGCAAGGAACTATGGGACAGGCAATATGGTTATGTTATGTTGGGTCGGTAGCATGCAATCAGGAACCAGAACGAGCGAGAAGTATGGACATATCGGGAGGAGGAGGGGAGCCCAGACCCTCACGTCCAGCCGCCCATCGACACACCCCGACACCACGTCCGAGACCCAAGCTCGGTGGCCGTCTGAAAGGCTCTGGCCGACACATGAGCAGCAGAGCAGACAAGCAATCCGCAGCGGGCATGGACTGGACTGAAGCACAGAGCAGAGCCAAGGCGTGGGCAGCTAGCCGCATGGACACTGGTAGCAGCCTGCCCTACACAGATAGTACATGGCATGTGTAGGTGGTACTTGCCTACCCACCACATGAACCCACTCGCTCGTGGGTGTGACGGGGGCCTTCAGCCAATGGGAAGCTTGGCATTGACAGCTTTGGTCCCAGCTCTTACCCAGCTTTCAGCCCCCCGAGACGCCCCAAGACCCCCAGCGACCTGGATTGGGCTCGCCTGTGGGGCAATTGGCGTCCAGCTCTTGCTCCGTTCTCTTGGTGTTCTGCATGCAACACTCCATGTCTAGCCCTCTCGCCCCATCCATCTGAGTAGGCCGTCCAAGCCAAGCCAAGCCAATGCTGCTGGATCGATACAGCCATCTACCTTGCAGCGCTTGCCTAGCTGCGGGCTGGTGAGGAAGGGCTGGTGCTCAGGGCGCATCTCACTGCTATCAAAGCTCCATGGGCGAAACAGCTCCTTCGAGGGCGGCGGCCAGGCGCAGGCATGCTCCGAAACCTACCCACTCACTCTTTTCCCGCTTACCCTGTCTAAGGGTGAATCGAGTATGCACAGTCAGGCCAGGCCGGCCCGGCCAGGTGACTGTGTGCTTGGCGCTGAAACGGCCTACGCGTGGCCTCCGAACGAGGAACGATACTGACTCGCAACTAAACTGCTCCTAGCCATCATTAGGTGATAGGCAAGTGGAAAGGTGGAAAGTCCAGAGCTGCCCCGATGCGCACACAGTACATGCAGAGTACTGTAGAGTACATAATCGAGCGAGCAGGGTAGCTCGGCTGGAGGTCACTGGACCGCATTGAATTTGGTTGTCTGGCATGGTATGTCAAACAACTGGCCTATGAGAGCGCCATCTCAACTGCCTTTTTTTCTTCAAGGGTGGAGCTTTTATAGGCGTTCCCCGTTCCAGCTCCCCTCGGCCACTCATGCACAGATGCCCCCGCGCACGACCCCGACCAGGTTCATCCCAGGCGTGATACATTGGCTCCTCCTCTTGCATCATTCTTATATAAGCCGATTTGCTTGCATCGACTGGAACGAGCAAAGACAACCTGGCCGCTTTAGGCTTGCCGACTGGCAAGACCCAGTCCACTGTTCGTGAGAGCTTTGGCAATTGGGGAACCATCGTACAAAGAAGGTCGTTGTCGATTACAGTATTTCAGTTTGCGATGTCTTCAAAAAAGATTACTCAACTCCAAGCCAGGCTCGTGGTTATGGGAACCAACAGTACGGTTATTCCTACCTAACCTCGTCTTGGTTCCCGTTGCCATAGTCTTCAATCGAAAGTTTAATACCGCATATTAATACCAAACATGATAGCAACAGGCTGGGTCCTTCAGCGGCTGGGCTCTCAACGGTTGACGCCTCACTTCGAATCCAACCCACAGGCCCCCCCTCCCGAACCGAAATCATATCTCAGACCTGGCTATCATTCAAAACTACGGCTTGATATATTGAAACATGACTCAAAGCCAAACGGCCGTGGGATGATACCTTTCACCAAGCTTTTTGTGCGGTCGGGTGTTTTTCCATCTCATGGAGGAAATCGGAGAGCATTAAAGCAGCGACGGCTCGAGGCAATTCGGCTTTAACTCTCCGGGTACTTAATCTACAAGTACATTTTTGAGTTTTTTCTGGGAAAAGGCTCAGAAGCTCAGGGGTGCGCAATCCGATTACGACAAGCAATTGGCTAGGAACAGCTGTCGGCCGTCCCCACAGGAGCACCATTCTAGAGCTTCCTTTCATCCACTTCAGGGTCTTCACCTAGCTCCTCTTTCTGCAAGTAGCAGCTCCACTGATACCTTGCCAGTGACAGATCCAGTGAGGAGATAAGAGCAAACATTGCAGCGCGATAACGGCATTTTCTACCCACTCGGACTTGATATGGCCGACGGATGGATTGGCCAGCAGCAGTCAACCCTGGCAAATTCTTCTTTGCCTTGCATCGAGGGAGGAAGAGGGAACAAAAAGAAAGGAACACAATGCAAGGAAAGGTCTAGGCCATTTGAAGATGCAACCGGGGTAGCCGTCACGAGCACACAGGGGCCTACCTAGCCTCTACATACCTAGCATGCTAGCCATGTGATGCCAGTTCCCATCAAACTTGGTGCACAGCCAACAAGGCGCAACGCCCTGAATCAGGCTCTCGACTCGCAATAATGCTGAGCCGGCCCCGGTTGCACTGCCTTATCTTCAAGTTCACTGATAACAGCCTCGGTTGATGGCACATACCTACCTGCCTCGTTGGCTACTGCGCTCTATGTCGACGCTATTGAGCGCATGTTTGCTTTTTATTTAGTTGTTTGTTTGTTTGTTTTCGCTGATGGATACCGCTTCCCACGCAACGCACCTGATGGATGGTTGCGAGTCCTACGCTCCGAGTGGGCCCATGCATCAAAGCCCACCGCTGACATCATCGGCTTGGATTGCGACAGAACCGCCAGGACAAGCGCCAGGGCTTGCTCTCTTGATAGAGAACAAAACGGCGCTGCTAGGGATTCCTTCGCATCGATGTAGTATGAGAGAAGCGCTTCGCTTTGGCATGCTGGGCTCTAGCGTGCGCGCATGTACTTGGCTGCGGTGTATAGAATCAATGCATGTGGTAATTGGGTGTGCGTTCCATTCCCAGGCCAGAGCGATCATGGGACACATCAAAGCTCTCCAATTCTAAGGCTTTGGAGGGGCGTGCACAGCTGTGCGTGGTACCCCTGAGCCCTGAAAGGCGCTGGCGTGGGGTCACCGCCTTTCCCTACATGGAGTCCACCAACAGTGGGCAAGAAAATGGCCTGCAAATGCGCTGCACCACTGTGCTGCACGGAGGTCCGCTCGACCTCTACCACCACACCACCACCCAAAATCATTCCCTAACCCATGGGACAGCGCTTACATGGCTACCAGTCAGAATCAAGTCTGCAACCTTGATGCACCCGGAGGCACCGACGGCCACCGCCAGTCCGCAGTCCAAGGCCAATGATGCTATCGGCTCACTACTCGTGCACATGCCGTTTCCGGCCAAGCTGGGCCTGGACTGGAGACTGGCGCCGCACCGGCCGGGCCCGAAAGTCCTGCTTGTGTTTGCCCATTCTACATCCGGGTGCCGGAGCTGCTGCTCTTTTAGTGCCGGCAACACCTGCTCTCACCTGCGTGTAGGCGCGCCGGCAAGTAATATTCGCGCATAGGAGCTAAATTCGTATGGAATGTAAGCATCCTCATCTCATCTATAAGTAAATCGAGCAAGAGGGTGTGTTGTTGGGAACAAGAGCGCATTTCGGAGACCCCGATTTTACGATCGGGAATATTTGTTGCCAGGAACTACATCGCCGGCATCGAATCCACCAGAGTACAGTTGGTATAGTCGTACGAATTGCTACTTTAACCTCATCGTTCCATTTTATGATGAGGTGAGTCCTGGCTGAGCTGTCGGTGGAGTGATTGTGTCGAGTTCTATCCTTACAACAGCGAATGAATTACATCGAACCACCCAACGGTGGCAATGCTACCCATACATCAGTGTACCTTGTACCGGCAAGCACAAGCACCAGCCTGAATAATTGTTGTTGTCGGCACAAGATTTATCTTATGATGGCCAGACTATCTGGATTCTACGCTCGTCCTTGATACGATCGGATTTCAAGGTATTAGCCAACAATTTATTTACCAAGGTTGTGCAAAGTACAGCCCCGAAGGCTCTGAGGACAGCTTCACATTTGCTAGGCGCATATCGCCATACACGTTAGAGAATCTTCAATTGGAAACTTAGAAAGTAGAAATTTCGTATTTAAACGGAAGCGACGTATTCATGGACCTGTAAGGAACGCTGGTAGAGGAGGAATAAACTGCTATAAGACCATCGCTACCCAACACGTTGCACTGATCTCTCAAATAGGTTGCATGAACACCTTGACTGGCCTATAATGGACATGAAAAGGGCTGGAATTACTCAAACGGGTCCAACTCCAACCAAAGTCGGAACCATGTGCTGTTCCTCCGAAGTTTTTCGTTCGAGAGCCTGCTTATGGGGGATCTCGCCAGGGTAACATACCCCAGATTCCGAGAACGAGTCGTCGATCTTATGAAAGTGAAGGAGAGAGGACGTGTGATTGGGTTATGGTGTAACCCGAACCATAGCTGGTTCCTTGTCTTTTCCAAGCGTTCACCTGGGTTGAAATCACTGCTGAGTGGTGACATCGTGATCAGA